AGATTTGAGCCAGTTTTTAACCACTTCCAGCCCAATTTGGAACCAGTGTAAACTTTGTTTTGAACTAGTTTAAATCAATTTGTAACCAGCTCAAAAGCTGTTTGAAACCAATTTTGAAACAGTTCAATCCAAATTGTGAACCAGCTAAAACTAATTTAACCAGTTTAACTCAGTTTTGAACTAGTTAAAATCCATTTTGAACCACTATACACCCAATTTTGAACCAGATTTTAAGCAGATGAAATTCAGTCTGGAACCAGTTGACGCCCAGTTTTCAACACTTTTTAATCAACACTAAAGCATTATAGAACCAGCTTGAACTAGCTTCAACTAATTTGAACTAGTTTCAACAAATTTCAACTGGTTTGATACAATACAATTAAACTAATTTAACTTTCGCCTGAAGAACTTGTATTCCATTTGAAAACTTTTAAAAACAATACCCTGAACCCTTCTTCTTCCAACAGGCGATAGGTATAAAATGAAAGATACTTGATATATATGTAGAAGCTAAATGTCAAATTTTGTGACTCTAGCTCATACTATTTGCCGAAATTGCTCAAAAAGCAGAATTCTCGATTTTTATCGATTACTTGGAAACGGGACAAGTTAAGGAATATCGGAAACAAACTCGATCTGCGCGAGCACTAGGAGGACCTACAGCTAAAATTTCAAGTCTCTAGCTCTTATAGGTTCTGAGATCCTTGCGTTCATACATACGGACAGACGGACGGACAGACAGACGGACATGGCTAGATCGACTCGGCTATTGATGCTGATCAAGAATATATATACTTGATGGGGTCGGAGATGATTCCTTCTGCCTGTTACATACATTTGCCCAAATACAATATACCCTGCTTACCCATTTTCAATGGGTTCAGGGTATAACAATACAAAATACTATCAATAGACATATAAGAAAACGGCCTAAAAGTATGCCAGGCTTTACATGCATGTGAATTACTCTAGCTTTACCTATCTGGCTCTGAGTATAGCTGTAAGCGTAAGCATGGCTGATGGTGGGTGGAGAATGGAGAATGGAGGGTGTTGGCAAACTTAAGTCTATAAATATATTAGTCGTTATCGATGAGCTCTTGTTCAACTATTTGAACTTGACTGATTGCGTGCCCCAATTTTAGCTGTGCTCAATATTTAGTTTTCTTAATGATTTCCATTATCTTTTGCTTATTGTTAAGCGTAATAGAGGGTTTATATAGAGGGTATAAAACATGGCCTACCCCATTAAGAATATATATATATAGTCATGATCAGAACGGCAAGCTGCGTCTGTGTGGAGGCGTCCTTATAGGAAACTATACCATTTCTTATCATTTTATCAATTCTTATTTCGATTAATCGATATTATATCGATTTTGAAACATATTCTTCAGGATAAGCTGATTCAACTTGGTATGTAGGCTCATGTATATATAATATACAGAGAATAAAAAAATATTTATATTTTGCTTTCACAATTTCAAAGACAAACTCATTTTAAAAGCTAGAACCTCAGGTAGAATTTCACAGAGATCGGACTATAAGCACCGAAGATAATCTATGATTTCCCACAGTGTGGGCTAACGGGAAGAATTACAGCGGATACAAAAAGTGGGTTGTGTGTGTGTGTGTTTTTTTTTTGTCTGTTTGCTCATAAGAAATCAACAATCTTTACAACGGCCGATGCTGGGGTCTACAGGGTATCAGCTAGTCGCACACTGCCGCTTACATTTTTGTTTCATCACAAATTCCCTTTATTGAGTATTTTTATAGGCACTTTTTAACAATCGGACTGATTTGTGTAAGTCTTATCACTGTTAAATAAAAGTAAGCCGCACGAAAATGCTGAACAACACACAAGATACCCTGTAAAACAATGCGAATGTTTAAAAGTAGAGCTGTACTTACTTCCAACTGGTAGAAATTACAATAATCATGTAAGAGCTATAGAGAACTGTTCGCAATGTTAAAGTTATTGGTCCAAATTCACCTTCAGTTTCGGAAAATGCGCGTAAAACTGTTGCGTGAAACTATTTTGTTTTTATCATTCGATTGACTTGAAGTTGTCGAGGCGTGTCGCTTAAGTTAGACGTTTATAGTTGATCTCTGAGTATATAGTACATATAGTTTTTCTCTGTTGAAATTGGGGGGGGGGGGGTAAGGAATTTTCTAGGCCGCGCAACGCCGGACTACACACTAGTATTCCATATAGGAATTTATGTTGAAGCGCAAAACAAACTGAACTTTGGAATGTGCATTGTACAATAGGAAAGCAAATTGTCGATTGCATAATAAGTCTCAGGCACTTTTAGGGTGGCCCCAAATGCCAGATAAATGATGAAAAAATCATTCGGTTCTGCATAGAACTTTATAATATAATATATATTAAAAATAATTTTAATTCATATAATATTACAAGCTTAATAATTAATATATTTTATTAATAATAAGAAATACCTGAAGTTCTATCTTCTAATTGAACCGGAAAACTTTTTAAAAAGCGAACAGAACCAATTTCGTTTTTTCATTTCATTAATAGTTAAAATATATTTTATTCCTAGGGATAATTAAATCATATTAAAATTAAATTAAAAGTTAATAAATAAACTTAAACAGAATAGTTTGTATCTTTGCACGATTCGCGCATTTTTTTGGCTCTGTTTTTGTGACTATCATCTATATTTTTGGATTCTCAATAATTTACATAACATATTTATAGTCTCTCGTTTCTCGAGCGCCCAAGTATATAGAACCAGCTTAAAGCCGACCCGAGCCGAGCCGAGCCGAGCAGAGCCGAGCCGAGCAGATCTTCGCATTGGCCTCCAGCGCAGACGTACGCAGTTTTCATGTAGGTCAGGCGCGACGCTTTTATGGAACTTGTTTTGATACGATTTTTCACCGACGGTCATAATGCGATTAACAATAGGTTACAATCATTTTACGGTTGGGCATATGCGATCGATCGATCGATCAGTCAGAAGGCGACCATCATGAGTTGAGATCTGAAGATCTACCTCTACCTAAATATGAACAGCAAAAAGTAGCTACAATCCATTGGGAATATGCGAATATTGGATATACGATCAGTTAAAGCAGTTAGATCTTTCGAGGTCGAGCAATTCGAACGAAGAATTCCTCTGGTTCGAAGAGGCAAGTCAAAGTAGTCAAATTTTATCGATAATTTCTCGATAAATATCGATGTGCTACAATCCATTGGGAATATGCGAATATTGGATATACGATCAGTTAAAGCAGTTAGATCTTTCGAGGTCGAGCAATTCGAACGAAGAATTCCTCTGGTTCGAAGAGGCAAGTCAAAGTAGTCCAATTTTATCGATAATTTCTCGATAAATATCGATATGCAGCCTAGGCTTTATATAATTCTCGACTCGATTCTCGACTAGCATACACAGATCAACTTTCTTTTTTTTTTATTTTATTATTTCCCCACACATATCTTTAATCTTGAGTTTTGTTTCTTGTATCCGGCCTCATTTGTTTTCTATGTTCTTTCGTTTATCTTTTACTTTGCATATTCGTTCTGATTTTGGTTCTTACTCTTATTGAAGTATTTGCTGGAATATCTTTTGTCTTCTGTATATAATAAAAGATAGATATATATATATATATGTATCTATCATATATCATATCAAATCATCCATCTATTGTACATCTTATATGCCAAATAAAAACAAAAATTTATCTTGTAACTGTAACTTTTTTTTTATCTGTATAGATAAAATCTCTTATCTTGTATCTTATTTAAAATCATCCTTTTAAATATATATATATCTATATCTTATATCGCAGATTTCATCTTTTAACTGAATCTAGCATCATATTCTAAGTAGAAACATTTTGTATCTGGCAAATTGTTTCTTTCATCTAATACAGCTTATATCTTTACTTGCAATATCTTTCATCCTCTTTTCTAGAAGATATGCTTTTTCTTCTATCTGTATATTGCATTTTATATATTTTATAGAATACGATGTCCTAGACCTGACCTCTGGTCCATCACTTGTATCTATCTATCTATCTATCTATCTATCTATCTATCTATCTATCTATCTATCTATCTATCTATCTATCTATATGTATTCTGGAAAATATGTTTTATACCGTATCTTTATCTTTGCTTGTATCTTATGCTTGTATCTGCCTCGTTCATTTTATATCTTCGAAAATGTGTCTTATTCTTTTTATCTTATCTTTTATCTGTATCTTCTATGCTAAGAAACATTTAATATTCCATATCTGTATCCGTGTCTGGCATTTTATATATATTAAAAATTTAAAAATATCTGAAAGCTTGTATCTTGTATCTGCGTATCTTATTGTTATTGTCTTATATCTTTTATCCTAAAACTCATCTCATATCCGAATCTTGTATCTTATATGCATCTAATATGTATCTTATATGTCTGTATCTTGTATCTGAAGTCTTTTATGCTTGAAAATATCTTATATCTTGTATCTGGTATCTGTATCTTGCATTTTAAATCTTTGAATCTTTGTTGCCCGACCTCATCTTTTATCCGAATCTTATATCTTATTTGCTAAAAAAGATGTTCGACTCTGTAGATGTATCTGTATCTTGTATCTGAAGTCGTTTATTTTATCCTTGAAAATTGTTCTTTTTTCTCTTACCTTACATCTCTTATCCCAGCCCTTCGCTCATTCTGTACAGCTTGTATCTTAGAAGCTAGAAAAGATGTTCTACCCTGTGAATGTATCTGTATCTTTTATCTACAATCTTTTATGCTGCAACATGCATAACTATAGTGCTATGCCATATATATTTTTTGATTGCTGCTCGATTGTTGTGTTAGTTAGGGTATGCAATCTTCTGTAGTTGGCTCGCAGCTGGCGATTGTTTCGTGTTGTCGTTGATTTCTAAAATGAGTTTAGTCGAGTTAGCTGCCGAGAAGCGAACGGTTGTTTGCGCTACGCATTGTTTAAAAACTAGAAAAATAAATACCTGCATACGTCGTGTAGTTGTTATAGTTATTTGTTGTTTTTCTTAAAATGAATACCTTGGCATTGTTCGCATTTGCTTTGTGGGCGCTTTTCTTGCGCTACTTGCCGAACATACTCAGGTTCGTGCAGCTGCAGCGCTTTTCCAGAACTCTGCCCGGGCCCAGCGTGCGCGAGCTGATCGCCAATGTGAAGAAGGGCCGTAAGTTAAAGATGCAGATGCTAGCGAAATAAACCAAAATATAATTCCAAGCGTAAATGCAGAGATACTCGACTGGCTGAAGGAGCTGCGCGCACGGCACGGGCCAGTTTTTCGCATTTGGTTTGGCAAGGATCTGATGGTGTTCTTTACGGCGCCGGAGGACATCAAACAGCTGCTCGGCAACAATACGCTGCTGAGCAAGTCGCGCAACTATCAGCTGCTGGAGCCCTGGCTGGGCCGGGGCCTGCTAACGAACAGCGGCGAGTCGTGGCATCGCCGGCGCAAGCTACTCACGCCGGGCTTCCATTTTCGCATACTCAGCGAGTTCAAGGAGCCGATGGAGGAGAATTGCCGCATCCTGGTCAGTCGGCTGCGCGAGCATGCCAATGGCGAGCCCTTCGATATCTATCCGTACATCACGCTCTTCGCCCTCGATGCCATCTGCGAGACGGCGATGGGCATCAAGAAGCACGCCCAGATGCAGAGCGATTCGGAGTATGTGCGCGCCGTCCAGACGTAAGTCAAAACAACTCACATGCAGCTCAATTACGATTACGAGTGCTCGACTGGGAGATACCCTGACTATGCAAAGTCCATTACTCTCATTAACTTCAGATATCAAAGTCCGATCTTTATGATATTCTCTGGGCTTATTATATATGGCATAAAATAGTGTGTACATACCAAGGCGCGAGGCTCGAGCTGTCTAGTTGACTTTTTTCCGAATTCTACGGAAAATAGGGCGTGGCATCCAAAATGTGAAATACTTGCAAGCTGTTTGTTCGATTTTAAAACCCGCATACCAAATTTGGCCTTTCTAGCTCTCAAAATTCTCGAGTTATGCCTAAAAAATCATGTCGCAAAATCGATATTTATCGGTATTCCTGAAAATGGTGTGAGTTATTGGATGAATTAGGTGTGTTATTTAAAATGTGAAGTATTCGTAAGCCGTGTACACAATATGAGAACTTACATACCAAGTTTGGCTTTTCCAGCTCTCATAATTCTCGAGTTATGCCTAAAAAATCATCGATATTTATCGATATTCCTGTAAATTGTATAAAATATTGGATATATTCGTAATGTTTGTAATCTGCGTAGACAATATAAGAACCTTTTCTAGATCTTATAATTTTCTAGTTGGGCCATGTGCTACAATCGATATTTATCGATATTCTGCAAATGGATAAAGCTATCGATTAACAGAGTTATGCTCGCTTCGCGCTAGGCTTAGAAGAATGTGTATTTAAAATTTCAAGTGCCCAGCTCTTGTAGTTTTCGAGATCGGGCCTTCGACTCGGCATAAGAGAGAAACTTGAAAGAAAACTGTGCCAGCTTAAAATAAGTGAAGCTTAAAGAAATATGTGCTAAAGAAAAAGAACTTTGTTGCTTAAAGCGATATTCTGTTGCAAATACTCTTGTTGGTTTTCGCTGAGCTAATCCGTTTGGGCCCTTCTATAGTATTTGCCGCATACTGCACCGTCAGAGCTTCTCCTTCTGGCAGAGATTCAATTTGCTGTTCAATCTGTCCGCGGCGGGTCGCCAGCGAGATGCGGCGTTGCGCGTCCTGCACGAGGAGACGTATCGCGTGATCAACATGCGCCGCAAGCTGCTGCAGCAGCAGCAGAACGGCAAGGAGAAGCCGGATGAGGAGGAGGAGCAAAACTATATTGGGGGCAAGCGGCGTCTGGCATTTCTGGACATGCTGCTGATCTCACAAATGGAGGGCGGCGGCGGGGATCTGAGCGACGTGGACATACGCGAGGAGGTGGACACGTTCATGTTTGAGGGCCACGACACGACCAGCTCGGCAATTGCGTTCGCCATCAGCCTGCTGTCCAAGCACGCGGATGTGCAGCAGCGCGTCTACGAGGAGGCGCTCGAGCTGGAGGGCAGAGAGAAGGAGTCGATGCCCTATCTGGAGGCGGTCATCAAGGAGACGCTGCGTCTGTATCCGTCGGTGCCGTTCTTTTCCCGCAACGTGCACGAGGATCTACAGGTGGGCCAGGTGACGGTGCCCAAGGGCGCCTCGATTAGCTGCCTGGTCTATATGCTGCATCGCGATCCGGACAGCTTTCCCCAGCCGGAACGCTTCGATCCGGATCGCTTTTATCTAAACGAACAACAGCTGCATCCATTTGCCTTTGCCGCCTTCAGCGCCGGACCGCGCAATTGCATAGGTAAGTCGCCCCCCGTTAAGGCCCGATTCCGAAAATAATGTAACAATCTTAACTGCAGGTCAAAAGTTCGCCATGCTCGAGCTCAAGTGCTCGCTGGCCATGCTGTTGCGGCATTATCAGTTCCTGCCCGTCGCCGAGCATCAGCCGCAGCCGCTCGCCGAGCTGGTGATGAAGAGCGGCAACGGGATTCGAGTCCGCATACGGCCACGCCCCTAATCCCATTTAAACACCCTCTAATCTAGCTAATAGCCAAGTATCGTTTATACACATATATAGCTCTATATGTATTTCTATCTTAATCTATCTGCATGTCCTAAAAAGCAAATCAAATAAAACTTAATCTCAATTCAGCGCGTGAATACCCCGCATGCAGGCACTAAAATATTATATGATCTACATTCAGACTTCCTCGATAAGTTTAAAAGATGTTCAACACTTAAATCGGACATAAAAAAGTGTGTACATATCAAAGAACGTTGCTCCAACTCTCATATTAAGGTTATTTATCCAATTCTAGGGAATTTGTGGCGTGATATCCAAAATATCAAATATTCGTGCTACTTGAAAGTCCACATACCAAATTTGGCTCAAGTCTCAAAATCGATAATTATCGGTATTCCGAAAATGGTAGAAAATTATTGAAAAAATCGACTGGTATCCAATATATGTGAAATATTCGTTATCGGGTTATACAATATGAGAACGTATATACCTAGTTTTGCTTATCTAACTCTCATAATTCTCGAGTTAGGCCGTAGAAACCATGTGCTACAATCGATATTTATCGATATTCTGAAAATGTTAGGAGTTATTGGAAAAATGGAGCGGGGTTTCTTAAAAGTGAAATATTTGTTATCTGTGTATATTATGTGAGAACCTATTTATCTAAATTTGCTTCTTCTAACTCTTAAAATCGATATTTACCCTTAAAGAAGGAGAAATATTCTGAAACTGTGTATGCCGTATATCAAGTTCTTAGTATATAGCTCTCATAATTCTCGCGTTATGCTTAAGAAATCCAATTCTCAAAATCTTTATTTATCATGGACTAGAAAGAGATACCTCTATATAGCTGTAGCTCTTCTAGCATCAGAGATCTGTGGTTTCTGTTGATAAGCACGGCATAGGCCCCTCTTCCTCCCTCTCATTCTCTCTCTTACACTCTCTCCCTCTCTCTCTCTCTCTCTCTCTTTTGTATAGAGATACCTCTTGTAACACCACAGATCTTTGAGTTTTATTGATAAGTACTCCATATACCCCTCCCTCTCTCTCTTTCACTCTCTCTCTCTCTCTCTCTCTCTCTCTCTCTCTCTCTCTCTCTCTCTCTCTCTCTCTCTCTTTCTCTCTTTCACTCTCTCTCTCTCTCTCTCTCTCTCTCTCTCTTTTGTATAGAGATACCTCTTATAACACCACAGATCTTTGAGTTATATTGATAAGCACTCCATATACCCCTCCCTCTCTCTCTCGCTCTCTCGCACTCTCGCTCTTTCCCTCTCTTACCAAAACGCCCAGCATTGCTTCTAATATCAAAGTTCAGATAGTTCAATCAATTGCCAGATAGCCCATTTATTAGCCAGAGTCCACATGCGCCACATGCGCCAATTCGCAGCCGCATAAGCAATATCAAATAAAGTATCTTGAGATTTCTGGCTAAAGAGTCCAAAATTAAGGCACATTTAGCTTGTAAATTAGTGGAGATAAGTTGTTATGGTTTGTTTCTTGCTGGGGGTAAAGCTCAGCCACAAATCGAGCCTATTAAATAATAATTTTTAATTTGGCAAACTCATCGTGACGCACTTGGACGTGGGCGCGATCAGGCGAGACTTTGAAACTGGAACAAAACAAAAATGCTGCTGCCTTATCTGGCATTTATATAGTATATATAGTATATATAGTATATATAGTAAAATCCCGGACCCCTAGCAAAGATAATGATATGAATCTAAACCCAAAATAAGAATACGACCGAAATAAATCAACATCAAAGTTTGTCGAATTGTTTATTTGCACACGTTTTTGATCTTTGGAAAATACAATTTTATATATGTATATATATATATATATATGCATTATTATTTGTAGGATAAGACGACATATGTATATATGTATAAATATTCTTGTATATACATATACTTATGTACGTTTGGTTAGCATTATATTGTGCTCTTGTTAACATCCAAAGCCAACAACAAAAAAATATATTATATATATGTATGTATATAGACAGTAAGTCGTAGGTATGGTTAAGTTATCGATATATATATATGTATATATATATATATATATATGTATATATGTATATAGATATACCTAAGCCGAGCTCTGTTAAATCTCTGTTACGCGCACACCCACATATTGCTGCTCAACTCTGTTAAAGCTCTGTTAACTCTGCTGGCTGTTATGTTATGTTCCCTGACAATTCCTTAATCTATAAACCTATATATATATATATATATCTATATATATATATATATATATATATATTTTATTCCGCGCGAGTCGCATCTGGTTCTTTTCTTTTTAAATATATTTTTTAGGTAATTTTTGAAATTTTTTTAGTTTAACAACTAGTTAAATTCCTTGACATTAGCCTGGGAATAAATTGGTTTCTTTTAGGTATATGGTATTCTATGGTATATGTTATCTAACATTTTTGGTATGTTACATTTCCCTATCTAGATTGCCTTCAATTACCATTTTGTGTGGTTTCCTTTTTTTGTTCTTCTTGTTTAGTTTTGTGCCCATATTCGATATATAATCCATCTATATACATCGCCTGTTACTCTCCTATATATCGTAATCCTCTAGTCATATGTGTGTGTGTGTGTGTGTGTGTGTGTGTGTGTGTGTGTGTGAACTAATGATATGATGCGTCTAGGCTAGCATTGGGTAACATAAAATATATATATACATATATATATATATGTATGCTGTATATATATCGTATCGTATATAGCATGTGTTATGTGAACAATTTCTTTTTTTTTTCCATACAGAGAACAATACTTTTTAGACTAGACTAGTAAATACCCTTGCAGTAGCTAAGTAGGTGTAACAAGTATTTATATATAGATAACAATTGTATGCTCGAGTAATCGTACATATATATAGTATATAGTATATAGTATATAGTATATTATATAACTCGTGTCTAGCGAACCGACAGACCTAATCCTAAACAGATGTCATAGGAACAAGCGAGGGTTGCGATCGAATCGAATCGAATCGGATCGGATCGTTCTTCTTATAAAGCATTAGGAATTTATCTTTGGGAAATGGGAAACGCGTAACCAAAGTAATCTCTATTTCTTAAGAGAAACTTTACCAGATAATTGCAACTAGCAAGCAACCAGAAGGTTCGCAAAGAAATGCATAAGCTCAGAGTTTGGAAGAGCAGAGGAAACCATCTGGGAATGTACCTTAAAAAAGAGATTGGGTGCGAGGTTTATCGAGAACCTGGCAGCATATCTGAAAGAACTGTAAGAGTTATCGGTTCATGGAACTGATAGTTAGTAGAAGAATTATCGAATATATCTAGAATATTCAATAGGTATTTTTCGAGCGTGATTGTAACGTAACGTTAGCTTAAAGCAGTCTCTATGAAAATTGAGTGCCATAATATTGGAAGCGTAAAGAACCCGAATTCTAGATAGATAACTATCTAATAGAGCAGTGATAGTTTCAGTATTGTAAATCTGGGAAAATGCCAAAGGGGAAAACTGAAAACTGTTGGAAGAACATTTAATAGCAATATCTAGTATCCCTAAGAAGGGAACGGATCGCAAGTATCGTAAGAGCTAAGGTCGCGACTAGGAAGCTTCCTTAAGTTGTAAATCATTCGGAATATCTAGTATATCCAGAGAATATATATGCTATGGGAATCGGAATTATAAAGCTAGAAGCCAATAGATGAGGGCCTTACCAAAATGCCGGACGATTGTTAGACTTATAGGAACATGAAATTAGTCTAGAGACTAAAAAGGGGAATCTAATTTGAAGCTGCAAGAATATAATCGGAGCTTCGCTTAAAGCCAGGGTATGCAAATGGTGCGACAGACGTCGCGTCTGTGCGGCTGCGGATGCGGCTCCTCGCCTTTGGGGCCGCCGCCGCCACCGCCGCCGCCGCCGCCGCCTCCGGCCACGCCCCCGCCAGCAGTAGCTGAACTAAAGTTGAAGAAGGAGCTCCTTCGTCAGTGCTTGCGATGTGCCTGAGGCGATGCGCCCGCTACGTGGCCAGTGCCGGAAATGGGGCTGATGCTGGAGTTGGAATTGGAATTGGAATTGGATGTGGAATTGGAATTGGAATTGGAAGTGGAATTGGAGCCAGCGCTGGCTACGTGCCCGACGCTGCCCTCAGGCAATGACTGCAGCGCAGCGGCGACGCTGCCGTAGCTGGCGCGCTGCTGCTGCTGCTGGGATTGAGATTGAGATTGAGATTGGGCTTGAGTTTGGGACTGCTGCATGTGATGTGGGGCCGCTGTCAGCGTGGAGGCGCGCGCCAGACGCTTGGGTATGACAAATGGCGGCGGCGGCTGTGGCGTATATTGGGGCGGCGTTGAGTTCGCCGATGCCTGGCGCACAAAATGTCGACTCGGCGGCGATTGCATCGAACCGGCGCGCGCAATGGCGCCGGTTCGCGGCGGTATCGCCGGCGGCGGCCCGGGCGGTTGTTGTCCGTGCCGCAGCTTCGCCGTTGGCGATGAGCTGCAGCTGCTGCTCTCCTGCGATGTCTGCGATTGGATGCGCGGCGGCAGCTGTGGCAGCTGTGGCAGCTTCGCATTCGGCTGCACCGTCGACATGGTTATCGTGGGCTTCTGGATGGGCACCGTGTGCCTTATGGTTATATTGCCGGGCTTGTTGCCGACGCTTTGCCTTGCTGGCGCAGCTGCAGCTGTTGCTGCTGTTGCTGTTGGCGCGTTGTTAACACTGGTTTTCTGTTGACTCTTCTGCTTCTGCTGCGCATGAATGTCCTGTATTTGGGGCGTTATCACCACCGGATTCTTCTTCTGATCCTGTCCGGCGGCCACATAGCTGAAGACGCACAGCACCGAGTAGCATATCTGATCCGACTGCATGACGGCATGACACCAAGGCAATTACACGTACGTTAGTGTTGGGCAATAGCTGAATAACTGTGTGACTGTGTGGCTGTGTGGCTGTGTGGCTGTGTGTGTTGGGTTAGCTGTTGGTGGTGTGGTGTGGTGGAGGTGGAGGTGGAGGTGGTTGTGATCGTGTATGGTGGATTATTTGGTGGTGAATTCACATCAAATCGAGCAACGAACCAACGAACGCACAAAACTAACCAAAATCATAAATAGCATGCAACTGGAACAATGGAATGGAACAAACACAAAAACAATACAATTTCAAACTAACTGAAAAATCACATTTGTACAAATTGCGCTTATGAAGTGAACGATTATTTCTTTCTTACATGTTGTTGTAGCTTTTGTGAGTATTGTTGTTCTTGTTGTTGTTGTTGGAAGCACAAACACACTCACGCACACACATACATTACAGGAACATTGCAATCGGATGCAACCGACTGCGCAATACTCTGTTCACAGTTGAAAAGATGCTTCTTGAAGCTTTCAACTGGTTTCCATAAGAAACACTTTCTGACATTAAACAGACAGATCATCAGAATATGAAGTATCTCAGGAATATCTAGACTATTTGGATGTGGGATAATGATAGGCAAGGATCGTGGGCATTATATAGCTGCTTAGCGCTCAGAACTTAGTTCGTAATCGTAATTGAAAATCATCCAGAAACCTTCTTAAAACCCAACTTCAGCTCAATCTGTAAAGGAGATCTTGTAGCATTGAAAGAATATAGCTTCCAAGTTGAATGTCTCTTTTCGGACGAACAGTGCACGCAACCCATATGCTCTTCTGTGCTTTGTGAACAGGGTATAAACAAAACAGAAATGAAAATAAAACAATTTGTGTGAAAACTTTATTTACAAAAAAAGAAGTTGTTACTCTTTCTATTTTCTTGTTACTATTTCCATTTTGTTCTAAAGCACATTTTCAGTGGGAACATTGGTAATTGTTGGCGCGTGTTCCAATGCCAACGTTTCAGTGCCGGTGCTCTCCGGTAATGCTGACGCCTGCTCCTTGCCGTTCAGATGACATACGTAGGCGAAACGCACGGACGTCACACGATGAAAGCTGAGCACAATTTCCGAGGCCTTTTTGGGTCACATATTCATTTTATTTATATTTTTGTTTCAGTTTCACGTTTCATTCACGGGTTTTTTCAGCGTGTTTTTTTTTGTATTGATGTTGAATGCAATGATTGATTGATTGATTGATGTGTGATGTGAAGTGATCGTGTTAGTTGGTGGAGGTGGTTGCAGGCATGTTGTTGTTGTTAATTTGTTGTTGTTGTTGTTGTTGTTGTTGTTGATGTTGTTGTTGTTGTTGTTGGTCGTATACATAGAAATGTTGACAAGGTAACGAAACGAAAGTGGCAGCAAAGAACGAAACGAAACGAATAGAAAAAGGTAAGGCAAATCAAACATAGTTATATATATATGTATATATTTATTTTTATATTATATTATTGTGTTAATAAGTATATACAAAAAATAAAATAAAAAAGAAAAACCGAAAGAAAAAAAAGGGAAAGTATATATTTATATATGTATATAATTATATACAAACATATGCAAGTGCCAAAAAAGGTGCTGTTTCAATTCCATTTTGTACACAACAACAAATTTGCAAAGTTATCGAAAAGAAAAGAAAAACCAAAATAATTGTGATGCAGATTTGAATGCATGTGGTGCAGTGCGAGGCTTTTGGGGCTATACGCATAGAGCACTTACCATGCTAGACTGATATTTTCGCTGGATGAGATTGCGCGTCTTCGGATCTGCAGAAGAGAAGTGGGGAACAAGTGGTAATTGGAACATTGGAGCATTGAATGAACGTAAACGATTATGGAACACTGTTATCGGGCACTTACTGTACTCCTCCAATACGAAAATGCCGCCCTTCTGTGTAAAGCATTTGCGTATGTGATCCAAACGCACAAAGAACTGAAATTATTTGTGTACAAGAATATGATAAGTTTAGCTTGACTCGAACCGAACAATTGCATCGGATTTCTTCTCTTCTTTCATTTTTTTTTTTTTGTTATATATACTTTTACTTTCGGTTTGAACCGTCACAAAAGAGTGCGGCATGAAACGCAAAAGTGGAACGAAACGAAACGAAACGAAACGAAACGAAATGCAAATGAAAAGGGAACAAAAATTGGTAGAGAAACAAAGAGTTGTATTTATTTGATTCTCTTGTCACACAGTTAGATTTGTGGATAGTACGTAATAATCATGTATCGGATAATATGCATATATGAAATAAAAGAAAATTAACAAATATTGTTCAAAGTTTCCTGTTCTCTTTGTTTTTTTTTTTCAGTTTCTCAGTTTCATTTCATTTATTGTTTTGTGTACGTGTGTTTTTGTGTGTGTGTGTGTGTGGGTAAACACGTGTGTGGGTGGAACTAACATTCAACGCAACGCAACGAAACGGAAACGAAACGGAAACAGAAACAGTAACAGAAACAGTAACAGTAACTCAAACAAAAGCTAAATGCTACGCAAGCGCATGAACAGGCAGAAGCAGAAGCAGAAGCAGAACCAGCGGCAGCAGAGGCAGGCGACATGCACAAGCAAAGCAAAAGCAAAGCAAAACCAAAAGCAAAGCAAAAGCAAAGCAAAAATCAGCTGCGAGTGCCGTAGCAACCAGTTAGCAGCAGGCAACAGCAGGTTAACGGTTAGTTTCGATCATCGATTATCGATTGCATCCAAAAGGTCAAGAAGTTGTTTTGGTTTTTTTGTCATTCTTCATAAGGGGAAACGATTGGAAGGCAAATGAAACAGCAAAACGTAAAAAAGGAACGCAATTGGTTGGCTTGCACCGGAACAAAATGGAACTCAATGAAAACGAAACGATTGGAATTGAATTTGAAATGAGTATGCAGCTAACTCAGGTAAAACAATTGTATTTTTTTTTTTTATTCTTTTAATTGATAATAATTCATTATATATATATATATGAAAAAAAAAATCGTATTTGCTTTTATTATAATATTATTTTAATTTGTGATTTTCTTTTTCGGTTTCGAGTTTGTTGTTCTAATTACATAGCACTTGTGAGATGGTCGTTCATAAATTGGCTGGGAATCGGCTATATATATGTTGGTATATACATATATAGATTCTAGCGAGTGGTGGGACGGGGTTGAGTAGAAGAACTATTCAATTGGAATACATTTTCAAAAACAACACTATGCATTTAACTCAAAGGCTGTGTGTGTCGAGTGCGTGCGTGTGTGTGTGTGTGTGTGTGTGTGTGTGTGTGTGTGTTGAGGTCCAGAAAATATCATGGATATAAGTTTAGAACCAAAATCAAATGAAGACGAAAGATTTTTATGTGGGTTAGCTGAGAGGTTTCGAGTCTCAGCGGGAACGGGTGGATCGATCGGCGATGGGGTGGAAATAAATACGCCCAGCCCAGATAATAAAAGAAAACATTTCGGTTTCTTTTCGACTGGTCTTAAATTGTTTTTAAATGGTACGATGTGTGTGTAGGCTGCTTGAGCTTTTATTTATATTTTTTGGTTTAGGCATGGGGTTAGAGTAAGAGCATGCTTATGCTAATTTCGAACGGAACGGGCGGTTCCAAATGGGCGGTTCTTTTGATTTTATTTGAATATTTGTAGTCTACGTTTATAGGAGTAGAACATAATTGGAAAAGTTGAGGTTAGGAACGCAGGAATGGAGCATAATAGAAAGAAAGAGACAGTTATAGAGATAGAGCAAGAGAACTAGTTGGAGTAAATGTAGGACAGATAGAGAGAGACAGAGGGAGACAGATAGATCGTAACTTTAAGATGGAAGTAGGAAGAAAAAGGAAAACAGCATGAGCTAGAATAAGACAGAGAGAGTACAACTTAAAGATAAAAGTAAAACCAAAAAGGAATACAACAGGAGTTAGTATAAGACAGAGAGAATGAGAGAGAGAAAGAGACAGATAGATCGTAACTTTAAGCTAGAGAGAAAGAAACATATCAGGAGTAAGCATGAGACACATGGAGAAAGAAAGAGACAGGGAATGAGATGGAGACAGTTAGAGTGCAACTTAAGGATAGATGTACAAAGTGAAAGGCACACAGAAGGAGTAAGAGAGGGAGAGAGAACGAAATAGAGATAGAGAGACAGATAGATCGTAACTTTAAGATAGATGTTGAAAGAGAAAGGAACATCGCAGGAGTATGCATAAGAGATATAGATAGAGTAAAACTTAATGATATAAGAAGAAAGATAAAGTATGCATAAGACAGAGAGTGAGAGAGAGAAAGAGAGAGAGAGAGGGGAACAGACAGATAGAGCGAAAGCTTAAGATAAATGTTGACAGAGAAAATAACACAGTAAGAGAAAATGTAAGACAGAGAAAGGAACACAGTAAGAGTAAGTGTAAGACAGAGACAGATAGAGCGAAACTTTAACAATCAGAGATAGGCAAAGAGTAAGAGTAAGAGTAAGAGAATGAGTAAGAGTAAGAGTAAGAGCACGAGTAAGAGGGCGAGTGCTCGCACTAGCAAGAGCTTAAAATAAATATTAAATTAAGTGCAAACGAGTGTAATTTCAAGTCGTTGAAAACAATTTTTTGCTTTCTTCAATATGCGAATTTTAAAGTTTGACAGTTTTCAGAATTTCGTATTAACTTTAACTACATTTTGCTTTTTAAACCAAAACTACACAAGCAAAATTATAAAATTTAAAACAATTCGATTGAAGTAACTGTTTTTTTTCTTCTAGTATTTAACTATATTTATTTAAAATTTGGTTTAAGTTGTTTTTTTTTGGGGGGGGGGGGGAGTTTCTCTTAAATTGTTTACAGAGCAAGCGAGAGATAAAAATAACCAAAGTCGAGTGTCTGGAGATTTACTGGCGGTTTACCGAGTTTAACCAAACACGAACTAACTAATGAAAGATGCTAGCAGAACGTGAAGCTACATGCCGTCTAATTAGTATCGAAGTGCTTCAAATAACATTTTGCTAGCTCAGCTTTTCAAATGGAAGCGGGTCCAAACCCGGTTTCGGTTTCGGTTTCCAAGCGATACCTACTTAATGCGAGGCCCAACTAATTTGGGCATTCGTATAGCTACGGCTACGGCTACGGCTACAAACTATAGATGTTATATATATATATAGGAAATCGTGAACAAAATCAGTTGAGTAGGACAGATAGAACTCTGTGTGTGTAGGTGTGTAGGTGTGTAGGTGTGTGTGTTGTGATTGTGTTCATTGAAATATTCAAAGAGCAAGTGCTCGTTAAACAGTGCCAAATCAAAAGCAAAACGAAGTCAGAAGTAAGAACAGCTAAACATCGGCATGCCGAAGTTTTAATACCCTTGCAGGCATTTGGATACATTTGAATCGATTCATTTTCATCGTATTTCGTTTTGTTGCACACTTTTGTGTAGCTTCAAATTCAGAGTTTTCCAATTCTTCCGATTCGACCAATATGATATAGTAAACCGATATTGATCGGATATGGATCATAAGTATAGAGCTTGGTAAGGCTCTTAAGTGCAGACTTTGGTCGAGATAATATGAAAGGTAAATTAGTTTCTCGAACAAGAATATAATGTTCCGATTCCGCATGGACCGCGACATATGTATGTATCGCCCGCTACAGAAAGAGGAAGCTATGCAAAATTTAACCTCGATAGCTTTGAGAACTAACTGATAAGTTCGCGTAGGCAGCCAGAGATGCCTACAAAGACTCGACAGATCGAGAATAGCATAATATAATGTTCCGATTCCGCGCGGACCGCGACATATGTACTGCCCGCTACGGATAGAGTTAGCTATGCGAAATTTTTATCTAGATCGATTTTGAGGACTAAACGATTAGTTTGCATAGAACTAGACTGAGAGATATGCCCACATAGACGCGATTGATCGAGAATATGTTGATATAATGTTCCAATTCCGCTTGGACCTCGAAATATGTACTTTCTCTGGATAGCTTTGAGAACTAAGCGATTTGTTCGCTTAGAACTGATGAGACATACATGCCAACAAAGACTCGACTGTTCGAGATATGTATATCCTAGGATAAATATATAATTTCTGAAATCGGAGACGTCTTTTTCTATTGCTGCACACAAAAAAAAACCTATATGCACTTGATTGTGTGTGTGTCTGTGTGTGTGTGTGTGAGGGGCTTAGCAACCAGATTGGAACATGCGCAGGCTTGCGTGTCCTGTATGAAACAGACTGACTGGGAAACATAAAAAAGAAAATGGAAATATGCGCCAGGCGCTTGTGGACTTAAAAGACCAGCGTAAGTATGGTTATCGTTATCGATATCGATAGGAATTTATCGAGCAGTTATTGAAACTGAAAACTGGTTGAGTGAACCCCCAAAAGTGTAGCCTGCATCGAGTATGTGTGCGTGTGCGTGTGCGTGTGTATCGAGAGAGAGAGAGAGAGATAGACAGACAGAGAGAGAGAGAGAGAGAGAGAGAGATAGAGAGAGAGAGAGAGTAGAACTGAAAAACTGTAGAACAACACACACAATAAAATATATAAATATATATATATATATATCTAGTTGATGTATTAGTTCCAAAACGTTCCAAACGCCCGCTATGTATATGCAGTATTCGTATTTGGAATTGAAACGCAAACGAAATGAAAATGAAACGGAATCGGAAACGCAAACGCAAACGCAAACGGAAACGGAATATGAAAAAACTGTGAGAAATCAAAACGAATGGAAATGATAACGATATTTATCGTTGAATTCGATCAGAAAGTAACAAAAAAAAAAAAAAGAGTGTGGGGAAACGTCAACAAGTAGTTTACGGCTCTGTTTCAAACGTAACAAACAAACCAACCATCCAGCCAACAATTTCGATTATAAATTAATTTCGTAAAAAACGTAAAAGCTAACAAATAATATACATAATTTTATATATATATATTATTTCGAATCAAATCAAATCAACTACTAGTTGTAATTTTTTTTTTTTTTTTTTTTGTATAGGGTTCTTTAACTGTTGTATGCCATTTGTTGTTGTTGTTTTTTGTTTCTTAAGGGTTTTTTTTTTTTTTTTTGCATGGGTGAAAAAGAAAATCAAGTGTTTGCTAACGAAAATAGTGAGAAGTAGGTGTTGGAAAACACAAAACGAAAAGAACAGAAATGAAATTGTTATTGGAATTGAAAGAAACGCAAATGTTGGTGGGGAAAGTAAATTAGGGAGCAGGGCTTAAAGAACAATAGTTGCTTATATAAAATTTAAGTTCAAATATAACAAGAAATTTGTTCATTGCAATACCTCGAAATCCTTTATCGTAAACGACATATTCAGTTCGTATATGTTTTTAGTATTATTTTCATATATTTTTTTGTATTTTTTTGTTGGTATTTTTTTTATAGATTTTTGTTCATTTTTGGCATGTAAGAGAGGCAGACCAATCATTGGAATTATTCGTAACGTTTCGATTCGATTCGTAGGGAACGTGTGTGTTTGAATCAAAGTCCACAAAATGGGAGAGCAACGGAGCAGCGTTCCACGTACGACAAAAAACATTAAACAAACAACAAAGAAAATAATAAAAAGAATGTTGACAGAAACGCATTTTAATTTAATTTTAGATGATTTTCATATATATTTATATTTTTTGGTATTTTTTTTGAGGGGGGTTTTTTTTTTTTTTGGTTTTTTTTTTTTTTGTTGGTAACTGTTTGCAAAATTTTGGAAATAGCATATCTAGCGAATTTTGGTATTTATTTTGTTTTTGTAGCACCAAGGAGAAACGATATGAAATGTGGTTGTTGTTGTTGTTGTTGTTGTTGTTGTTGTGTAGAGTTTCTTTTTATTTTATTAATAATTTATTTTGGAAATTGGGACATTTGGTAGGACAGCTAAATCTTAGTTATATTGTTGTTGTTGCTGTTGTTGTTGTTGTGGTTTATTACTCGTACATAAGAAATATAATCAAATTGAGTAGAAGAAAAACGCACAGAAAATACCAGAATAAGATAGGCAAACGAAATTAAGTTAACAAATTGAAGCTGTAAAAAAGCTAACAAACAATAGAGATAAGGAAGAGAGAGACAGAGAGAGAGAGAGACAAGTGAAAGAAGAGAGCGAGAGAGCGAGAGAGCGAGAGAGAGAGAGAGAGAGAAAGAGAGGCAGAGGTAGTTATGAAAATACCAAACATACCAAATAATATACCAAAAATTAAGGAGCAAAGTAAAAGAGAATTGAAAACAAAGAAGCTCTAGAGACAAACGATAAGCTGCAAATATACACAAGGACCATCTCAAAAGCGACCAGTTTTCGGTATATGCACAACAAAAAACTGGTATTTTTTTTTTAATATTCTTTTTTATATATATATATATATATATATAAACGTTTCTTTGCTTTAGATACTTTTTTTGAGGGGTGGGGGGGGGGATGGATAATATACGCCTAGTTCAAAATGTGGTCATATTCCAGGAGGATACAACAAATAAACAATTTAAAAATTAAATTGGGCTAACACTGACAAAAGAGATTTAAGAAAAGAACGCACTTAACGGTAAACGGCTTGCCGACACACTCGCACACACACACACACACACACACACACGCACGCACGCAGACATGCTCTCTCGCTCTCTTCGGCAACGGCATACGAAAGAGCGCAGCGCGTTAATAACGGCAATTAGTTACTGTTAGTTTTCACACAACGCAATATGAAAGAACAGTTTTAAAATAACGGCAATTAGTTACCGTTAGTTTTCATACAGCGTAGAAACGGAAAAGCGATAACCAAAAATAATCGAACTAACATCTCGTAACCTCATTCATACAGCGAGTTCTCACTTTTTGGGCCTGAGCGTATCTTAACTTTAAATATATATGTATATATAGCCCTATCAATATATATATATATACATATATATATTTTAGGTTATTGTTTTGTAGTAGTTGTTGTGTTTTTTTAAATTTTACTTTTCATAATCAAAAAATTGTACACATTACAAAAAAGTAGCGAAAAGAATTTGCAGAAATATTTGATGGCAATGATGAAGAATTATCGGAATTATCGCTCGAGAGCAGCTCAAATGCGATATAATATCAAGAAAAATTTGCAAAAATCAATAGAAAAAGAAAACAAAGTAAAAGAAGAAGAAGAAGAAGTTGAGACCAAAAGAGAAGTAAAAACCAAATGGCGCAGCTCAATGATATGAAAATCGTAAGCGTAATCATAAATTGACGTAAGAAATTGTGTTCAATTGGTTAGGATTATAAAAATAAAGTAGAGAGTATAATGAATATAGCATTCAGTACATTCACTAGCACAATATATGGATTATATGGTATTATGGATTTCTTTTATTTTTTTCATATAATTTTTATTTCGTTTTCTTATTATTGGATTAAAGATTCGGTACCGCTCGTTTTCTCACATTATATAGGTAAATAAGTATATAAAAGAGGGCGAGACAAATAAAATGACAAATGAAATGAAAGCAAAGTAAACCGAAACGAGCGAAAGTTTCGAAATGTAAAAGTTAGGTTAGGTGGAATATGTCGGTCATTTTCTATATATATATATATATTATGATTATTGTTTGGGGTTATGGCTAGGGGTAAGGGGAGTACGTGAATGAACGCAAATAAAACACGAAACAAGAAGATAAACAATCAAAAGAAAAACAAAATTTGCTTAAAACAATATCGAAATATATATGTATATATCAAATGTGAAACGGGAAAGTGGGGCGGGTAAGTTAAGATTTTCAGAGATTTATGCAAAGCTACTTGATACTTGATTCATTTTCTTGAATGGCGTTCGCCTTGGGGCTCTGTTGGGGCGCTACGAAACAGTTGACTGACCCAGCAGAACGTCCAGTTATAATGCCCAAGACTGTACTTCATAATGTTCCGGAAACAAGCAACTGCGTGAAGCTAATATATATGTTGTGAAGTTCTTTGAAAGGGCAGCCTAATTTATGCTTAGGAACTAACCTATTTGTGATAGTTTAAAAATCATAATGCAAAATATTGAGAAGGTCCTTGCATAGAACAAATATTAAGTAAAAAGTTTTTTTCTAAAATGAAATTTTGAATGAACCAAGAGACGAAAGCAAACCAAGGCAAATCGAAAGCAAATATATAAAAGAGATAAACCAAAAGGAAAACGAAAACACAAACAAATTGGCCCAAAATTTGAGTACAAGTATTTTAGTATGTATATCCTTGATTTCGAATTTGTACTGTACTTATTTGTCGTATGTATATATATATATATATCTGATATATAGAAGCTATAGACGCGCATGGGAATCGCTTTTGGGGAAGGGGCAGGCCTGCGGCAAATGGTGGACGCTGCGGCTGTGACACGCCCACAAAAAAAACAAAAAAAAAAAAAACAGAAAAAAAAAAGAAAACATAAAAAAAAACAAAACCAACACCAAATGCCCGGGCATATCGAACTTGTAGATAGATTTCGGATATACATAAGTGATTAAAACATATATGTATGTAAATGTCTGTAGTTATGTGAACAGCTGGGAACTTTCTGGCTCCATAAGGAGGGGGAGAGAGACAGAGAGAGAGAGAGAGTGGAAGATTTTGAAATGAATTTGGATAGTTCTTGTCTGGGCTTTTCATTAGATGTTAATATGTGTCCCTTTTTTTTGATTTTTGTTGATTTTTTAGGGTTCGGCTTGGGAATTGTGGATTGGGTGGATTGGGTGGTCGGGAGATTTAGTGGGCCGGCGGGTGGACGACTTGATGCTTATATGTTTATGGCTTTTTATATATGTATGTAGATGCAGAGAGTTGTACACAAAACGAGTATTTTTTAGAGAGCGGCGAGGTATATGTATATGTATATGTATGTGTGTGTGTGTGTGCGTGTGTGTGCGTGTGTCAATGAGTGTGCATGTGTGTGTGCGCTATCAAGAGAGCAAGACAAGACAACAAGACAACTTACCTTGCTGTTGGAGAACAACAAACCGACACCCTCGAGACAGACCTGCAGCAGTCCGCCCTCGCCCGTGTTCATGTCCTGCACCGGAAACTCACCGCCCAATTCGGGTACATTTGTGGGCGTGCCGCCTCGCTCCATGGCCTCCTTAATGCAATTATACAGCTCCTTGCACTGCCAAAGAGCACACACATAACCCAAATATAATGCGATACATGTATATATATATTGATGACGACCGATTCTCACCTTGCGCGTGTAGTATTTATGCAGCTGGGTTTGGCCGCCATTGCGACGCCAGAGACAGAGAAGCTTGGTCTTTGGCGAATAGGTCATGTTGACCAGACGCTCGTACCACCAGCGCTCCACAATGGTCCCGTCCACGGAGCGCAGCACGAGCCCATCGTCGCGCACCTCCATAAAACGCAACGGTCCATTCACATCGACGCCCTGGTGTACGGTAAAACTTTGGCGATGCAGCAGCCGGGAGCCCAGGGGCTTCAGATCTATGTCATTGCCATTCTAAGTATAAAGCAAATAAATAGTTGATCGTATGCAGTCAATATCTTTAGTGAGATAGCCTGAACCCAATGTTCTCTAGCGTCTTTCAGGTGCCTACGCATAACTCCGTTGTTAATCGTCCGATCTTTATGAAATTTTCAGGGCTTTAGCAGGGCTTACTCAAGTGTGTGCATACCGAAGCTCAAGCATCAGGCTTTAAAAATTTTAGTTTTTCGAGGTAGGTTTCAAAAAAGTGAAATATTTCCAACCTGTCTTTACTATTCAAGAGCCTAAATACCAAGTTTGGCCTACTTATCTCCCAAAATTCTCGATAAATGGACTACGTCTCAAAATCGATATTTATCGGTATTTCGGAAATAAAAGGAGATATCGGCTGAATATGAAATGATATGATGCAAACCTGATCAAGCCGGAGATGCTGCCTACCGCCTCTTACATACATTTGTGCAAAACTACTTTATTTCATATTCAATAGGTTTGGGGTATATAAAAGTGAAAGACCAACTCACCAGATTGTTAATCTGATCGACCACATTGTGCACCTCCTGCGAGTAGACAAGCCCAATATGGCTCTTGCCCAGCAGGCGACGTATTTTGCGTCGAATCTCATCCTTGTTCACATTCAGCATCACCAATATTGCCGTCAGATTGTAGAGCATGGTGCTCAGCAGGCGATCTTCATCGTGCTCCAAGCGCTTACGCTCCGATTCGCTCAGCGACTTGTAGCGCTCCATCATCTCAATGGGACCCTGAATAAATAAATAAAAAGAATGCATATTCAAATTAAATTGTGTTTAAAGTTTTCCACCCATTTTCCGACTGTTTGGTCTAATGTACCAAAATCGAAAGATCTGTAAAAATGAGTTTCATTTTCCACCTTGGGGATGAATTACATTCGGTTTTGTTTCATAAAAAGTCTCCATAATTTATTTTCTCTGAAACTTTTAAAATAAGAAAATACAACTTTCATTCACACAACTCTGAAATCCTCTTTTCCACCTTGAGAGGTGGAATTCGACACAATCGATGAAACACATTTAAGTTCCATCGAGCATATATGTTTCTCTCTTAGTCTTTAAAAATCACTTTAATCGAATAAAATAATAACTTCCATTCATACAACCTTGAAATCCCATTTCCACCTTCCGAGGTGAATTTGATCAAATTCGACCAAAAACGGCTGAAATACATTTTAACAATGAATTTCAAATATTTTGTTGGGTCGAATCGAAAAAGAAAAACCAAAAGAAATTTCTTATCTATCTGGGATAAAAATTGTACGCAATGGTTTCCCCCTTTTTTTTCACTTAAATGGGTGGAAATGTTAATGAAAATACACCACCAACTATAACTAAGATTTCTAGTTGCGACGATCTGGTAATCAAAGGAAACCTAAAAACATTAAGATAAAGCTCGGCTCACCTGATCCATGCCGATCATATCACGCTCTTGACTGACGGCATCCAAGAAGGCGTCCTCCCAGAATTGCATTTGATTCCACAGATTAAGGCGATCCTTGCCCAAAAGGCCCTCAAATAGATAGACACGCGGACTGTCCGGCGATGGCGAGGATGAGGTGTTAATCAAATGCCCGCCCGTATAGCGGAAACCGGCGCTGAGCGTCGATTTGCCGGACCACAAATTTCCGGTGCTCTTTTTCGAATCCTTCGATGTGGTGGTCTGTGAAAGAACAGCGACAATGCGCGCATATTAAAATCGCAGCTTAAGTCAAGGCAGATAAATCATTTATATATATATATGTATATATATATTGGTGATCGGTGCAGATCTCGAGCCAAAAGAAAAACAACCAACTACAAGTTGACAAGCTGATAATGGGCCTCCTTGTGGGTTTTTTTTGGGCGGGGCCTGAGACAAGTTGAACGTATCGATTTATTGGTGGATTAATATTGATCGATAAATCGATTAATCGAACGATCGATCGATCGATCGCGGTCATCGAGCTGTGTACTTACATTTTCGTATTCGGTGTCTGAGACTGTGGAACGGCAGCTGGATGGCATGCGGACGCTCAGACTGCCAGCTGGCAGCAGATCACTGACCACGGATAGCGCGCCCGTGGAGCCAGCAGCCTACGAATTACAATACGATACGATATGTATTGATGCGATAGACGATAGACGATATACGATATACGATATTCGATTATTCTTAGCAGGCCGACATTGATTGACGTTTGAGGCGTGGCCCGATTATGCGACTAGATATATATTGATATGCTGATAAGCGCTTGCTACATAATCATATATATATAATTATATATATATATAGATATATACGGTATATAGACAACGATTACGATTACGATTACGATTACGATAGCGATAGCGATGCACGATATTGGCATACGATGGTTTACGGCATTGATACACTAATTACGGCATAAATGGACATGGACATGGACATGGGCGTGGACATGGACGTGGACATGGGCGTGGGCATGGGCATGGGCGTGGCAGCTATGTTGGAATGATTGAGCTAACAAGCATTTAATGCTGTGAATTGTGAAAGCTAAAAGCTCCAACAATTACCGCACTCACATCTGAATCGAACGAGGTGAGCATATTCTTCAAGGCACTTCTCTTCTGCGACAACATATCCTTGAACATCTCGGTGGTCGACTGTCCATCCTGGCTGTCCGCCGAGGACAGACGACGGGCGGCGGCCGATGTTGTTGCTGCCGCTGCCGTTGTGACCGACAGGGCCGTATGGGTTGAGCTCTTGCGCGACTCCTGCGGCGAGGCCCACTCACTGCCCAGACCCGAATGCGAGCCATTCGGACTGCTCGGTGAGCGCAGATTCTCGCGACTGCCCATGGGACTAGCCGCATGACTCGACAACAAGCTGGATGACATGTCGCTGCCCTCGTTGATCTCCTTGCTCCAGAAGTGCGTGTGCGCGACCTCCATTAGCTGGAACACGGAGGCCATGCCGCCGAGACCAAAATTGCTAAAGGTCGCGTCCAGGCCGCCGGCAATCGCTTGCACACACTTGAGCATGCCCTTCCACACGGGCTTGGTCACACACTATTTTTGAGATAAACGGAAAAAGCAATAAATATTAAGGTTGTCAATAATGTGCGAATTTTCGACTTGGACTCGGGGGAATTTTCTTACGTACCACATCGTCAATATGATCATCGGGCGCTATCTTCTTGTCCAGCGTCTTGTTCAGCTTGCTCAGCACGAGTGTGCGATAGGATTCATCTTCCATTAGCTTCTTGAAGCGATTGAGCTTGAGCCAACCGACACCCTCGCCGGCCAACACCTGATTGGTGACATCCTTGAGGAATGTCTGATTCTCGGCATTGCTGTGCGATCGCTCCTGATTCTGTTGGCGCGTCAAATCCTCCTGGGTTTGCCGCGGTCCCGAATGCTTTATCAGCGGCGTACGCTCCACCAGACCCTTGCGACTGGGAAACGAATCATAATTGCTGGCCGACTTATTTTTACCGCCGCCCATATTGGCCGGCTTGTGCTGCACAGCCGACTGCTTCTGTTGATTCTCTGTGCGTGGGGAGGGGAGCATGAGCATGGGAATTGAAACTGGGACTCAGCGCCGGACTTACTCTTGCCAAACATGCCCGAGAACATGGTTGTTGTGGTGGAGGCCAGCCCATTGAAGTCGGTGCCAATTGAGGAAAAGAAATTGTTGCCCGGTCCGCCGCAGCCGCTTTGCTGCACCTGCTTCTGTGTGGCCAGCTGCGAGCTGGGCATGGCTGGTGCATGGCTGGACGCCGCTGAACCATGCTCTTCAATCTTGATGATGCCCTTCTTGGTGGCGGCCTCCTTGGCCGTCTTCGTCAGATCGCCCAGCGTTGATTTGCCCACATAGGTGAGATCCTCCAATGTGTTCTTGCTAACGCCAGCCGCCTGCTTGGACACCACCATTGCCTGCTTGGAAGCCTCTCCAGCCGCCTTCTTGGCGTGCAGCGTAAACTGTGAGGATCAGAGCATAAAATCCAATTAGTCCAATATATGGAATATATGTATATACCAATGCGGGCACTATGCAGGGTATAACTTGAGAGTTACTACAGAACAACAGCGCAGAGTGCAGGATAATGACAGCCAGGACAACTAACTACAGCGAGATTATGCAATCAATAAGCTACAATGGTTCTAGGGTTGACAGCTGCCTCGAAAAGTGTTTGTTGGTTGTGGTGTGGTGACATAAGATATCTATTTCCTTTAGTCCTTTACAGTTCACAGTTCACTTTTGTGGCTCTTTTCCAAATAGGGTTGTCACCCTATGGTGCAGTTCTCTCCCATTGAATAATTCATTATGGAGTCTCTCCACACTTTACTTTTTTCTTGTCTTATGTATGTCTATTAAGGTTGTTCCCACAGATTTGCAGTGCATATTAAAACAGGGTTGTCACCATTCTTACACAGTTTCCATTCAATTCAGTAATTTATAATATTCACTTCCTATCCTTTTTTATTTGACCTTTTGACTTTCTGTCTAGAGTTCTCCTTAAGCTTTACAGATTCAGTTCAAAACGTGGAGTTCCTCCTCTTGATTTGCAACTTAAATTAAAACAGGGTTGCCACCACTCTTTAAAAGTTTCCATTTCATACTCATCTCTAGAATATCCCTTAAGTCTCTGGGTATTCTAATTTTTTAACCTGCTGTACAGTCAACTCTTCCCGCATTGCAGCTCAAACTCAAAACAGGGTTGTCACCATATATCAACAGTTTTTATTCAGTTTGTTAATAAATTGTATTTATTTCTAGTGTGTCCATGAAGTCCCTGCTTACTTTGGTCTTATAAGTTGCACATACTTCAGCTTTAAGCTCATATCCAAAACAGAGTTGTCACCCTACGTAACAGTTTCCATTCCATGCGATAGTTTATTATATTCATTTCTACTATATCATGAAGTTCTTGTTTACTTAAATCTCATTTTATGTATTTCTATAGGGTTGTGCAGGCCAAACATAAAGCAGGGTTGACACCATGCTTTAACACTTGATTCTCTTTAATTGAATGCATATTTGAAAGTAATTTCTTTGGTATTACTTTATGACTCATTTTGAACTTGGAACTCCAACAGATTTACCATTTATAGGGCTGCCACCACACCAGAGCTATCCGAAAACCGAACTCTAAATTCTTTAAGTATGGGCCTGGGCATGGGCGTAGGTATTATCAATGCTCGTGCGTGCATGAGCGTGGTTGTGTGTGTGTGTGTTTTGATGTCAAATGTGTTTAGAGGTTAGGGCGAGTGTGCGAGTGTGCGAGTGGCTGAGTACCAACCTTTTCGAAAGTGTGACGCATTTTATCATCTAGATCTTCGTCCTGGGCATGCTATACTTAGTTATACATTGGTTTACATTGAAGTAGACACATAGAACGTGCGATTACATAGTAGTAACATTACGATTATCGATTTGGTTGATCGATATCGATGAGAAACGTTTCGATAAATCGAATTTCGAATTACGTTTGTCACAGTATCAAAGTAGATGGACAACAGAGAGCACAACAACACATTGAGTCCGACAATGGATGCACATTCAATTCTATATATATGTATATATATACATATATCAATTTGCTTTCGGACACAACTCACCTTATCCACATGGGCCAACAGACCCTCCTGGCTGCTCTGGCGCGTCGTCTCGCGCACCAGCTCCTTGGCGTGCGAGGCAAAGTTTTCGAATAGGGAACTCTGCGAGCTCTGGCGACCCGGACTGCTCGAACTGGAGCCGGAGCTGCCGGTGCGAGCCAATATATTGGTGACACTCGGTTGCTTAACGGGCGGCGTTAGCGGTGGCTAAGCGAACAGGAACTTGATTAGGTTGATCGACAATGGAAGATCTTTCGCTTACCGGTATCTTCTTTTCGGTACGCTCCACATCGCTGGTATTGCGCTGCAATTTGCTGCTGGCTATTGTCTTGCCTGTGACTGTGGAGGTCGTATCCGATTCGGCCTCCAGACTGGCCATCTTAATTGTCGCCTCGAGTCGCATGGCCAGCGGTGTGGCCAGCTCAAAGGCACCCGACGCCGCCGGCTGAACGGGCTTGGGCTGAAAATCAAACTCCGAGTCACGATTGAAGCTGGGCGAGCTCAGGTCCGAGCGGCTGGATGAGGAAGATACCGGTGAATCGGCACGCTCCTCATCCCCCTTGATGGTGGCTGGTCCGGCCAAGCCCTCCGGATACTGCAGCTTGCTGGGCGGATGATAGACCAGAGCCGGATCCAGATTGGAGGACAATGTCTGCGGCACGACATGCGGTCGATTGTAGGAGCCAAAAACATCGTGCAGACTGGGCGATAAATCCGATGAGGCCATCTCCGAAACAAAATCGCTCAGCGAGCTATACGAGGAGCTGCTGCTGTCGGCACCCTCCGAGTCCGAGCCACTCTCATCCGTTGGCTGGCACTCGAGCTGCTTCAAAGAGCGCAACGCACCGTTTAGCGAGCTGCCGTCATCCCACACCGAGAAGCGTATGGGCGTCAGGGAGTGGGCAAACCATTTGGGCTTATCGCCCACCTGCATGGGATCCATGACGCCCGTCTGTACGCGCAGAAAGGCGACATTTGTCGGCGTTAGGGACCATTCCGCCAGGAACTCCACCGCCTGCGTGCGCGAAAACTGATTGAGGAACGAGGAGGCACGCGGTCGCGAACGCAGAAAACTATTGATTTGGAAGGCGACAACGGGTCGCGGATATAAACGCAATGTGCGCGTATGTTCCGCAAAATTGGCCAAAGTATTTTGGGCATTGAAGAAGCGCACCATGGCCACACGCGTGGCCACATCCACCGAATCGACGTCGGTGCCGTAGACAAATGGATTCAATGCCGGCGAATTCATCGGACTGGGCTGACGGGACAACATTCCGCCCTGCGCTGACATCGAGTTCCTCTGGCTGGCCTGTGCCGAGTGTGGAGGCGTTTGCAGGGGCAAACGTACTTGCGAGACCCTACACAGATCTCGATTAGAGCCGGTGACCCACCGTACATGCTAATGGCACTCACCCCAAAAGCGGCGGCTCCTGGAGACAATCACGCACCGAGGGCAACAGCTGCTGCGAGGATACAGCCTGATTGGAGGCCGTCATCGAGGTTAAAGCCTGTTGCAACGAATCGAAAGAAAAAACGTCGCTTTAGTAAACTCAGCTCAGTTAAAATTGACTTGGCTGGAACTTCAACAGGGTTAGCTATCAGGAGGGATAGACCAAAAGAGCGGGCTTAGGGGTTACGGTTAAGGATAACAAGTTGCAAGGAAGAGTTTTTACATATACAGCATGCACACAGAAGAACACGAAGACGAACGAGAAATTCGCTAGAGAAAGCTAATAACTGGGCTAAGCCCCAGTTAGAGCTCAGCAATGTAGAGAGATTTATTGGCAGAGGGCTAGCCTAAGCAGATATGGGCATTCCCAGCGCCTCAAAATGTTTAAATGATGAAATGCCAGGGAAAGTTTATGGTTAGTCGAATGCTGGCACTTCTCTAACGCTTCTCAAAGTATTTATGTGAAAATATGTGAATTACATTTAAGCATCATCTATTTGAAAAGACTACGTGTATAACACTTTAGGTACCATCGATGGATGCTACGAGAATAACTTTATTAAGGCCAACTAAGGCTTGAACCGAAAGATGTGTAAGAGCTGGTTCTAAATATAAAACTTTAGGCTATATGTAGAGAAGTACCATAAAGAAAACTACAAAAGCTGTTTTATGGGTTGTTAAACATGTTTAACATGAAATAACTAAATAGATCGCTTAACATTTTTCATATATGTTAAATGACATCGGTTTCGATAACTGTTAACTATAGATTTGTTTCACGTTACATTCTGATAATACATTCTCAGATAATAAGAGAAAAGCACGTTTTCTTAATAAATCTTAATTTTGATTATGCTGGAACCCTCTCTGGAAATGCCCATACGCATGAGTTATATTAGTTAAAGTTAAATGTCATGTTCTATGCATAATGTGACTGACTGTCTGCATGCGTTAAAATGTATGTATTTAGATTTGGTTAATACTAGATAATATGTTAATATGTTATGTTTAGTATACAACAATTCATAGTATTAGTAGTATTTTTAGTAGTAGTTATGTACAAAACGCTTTCAACTCAAAACCAAATAATAATCATAAGAAAATGTTATAAGAACGAAAAAGAAATGTTATTTAACATATGTTAAATGTGAACGATATTTACACCAAGTCCAGCTTCATCCATAAGTAGCATAGCCTGCATTTGTTGTGGTTGTTGTTGTTGTTGTTATTGTTGTTGTTGTTATTGTTGTTGTTGTTGTTGTTTTTATTGTTGTAGTTGTGAACAAGTTTAAGAAATTCGTATAACAGATAATGCATGATTGTTAGAAGTAGAGTAGTACAGTATTAGCGAAGTAAAAGCCACAAAAAGATAGACACAAATATAGGGTGGGCGAGAGAGAGAGAGAGAGAGAGAAAGAGAGAGAGTAAGAGAGAGAGAGAGAGAGAGACAGATAGAGCAATGAACGTATGAAAAAAGTGTTGAAAATAATACAAAAGTATACAAACAAATATGTATATATATATAAGAAGAGCTATGTTTAAATCATATATATATATATTTATGGACGGCTCTGTGAGTGTAACTCCGAGGCGATATAGACATTTCTTAATGCGGTATTAAATATTTATGTATATAAAGAGGACAATCATACAAAAATTTGGGAAAGAGGCGATCAATTAAATAGTACACTTATTAACGGTTAACCGCTGAGCTATCGATATGCGCGCTTCGAATAATATATGTATATCGATAACTTTTTTACACATTCAGATAGCAGAGCTGAGCTCCATTTTGCATAGACAATCAAAGCCTGTCGCACATATCAAGATATACAATTATATGAGATGATAAATCAGTAAATGCGTGTATCGAGCAACGGGAAGTGTTTTAACAATTACACAAGTTACAAGTTAACATTTAAGTATTATCTAGTCGCAAGATCCTGTACCCAAATACATCAACATATGTTAATATGTACAGGAAAGATATACACATTAAAAGAAATTACCCGGCGTCGCCTTAATTTTATGATTTAAATGATTTAGGTGAAAATTAAAACGTGAAAGATAAGATATCTTCGGCACGCCGAAAATTTAATACCCTTGCCTTTTACAGATATGTGAGAATCGGGGAACAGAATATTTTGCCAACTATTTGTCTTTCAGTTTTTGGGCTGAAATAAAACTGAATAACCCTCGAACTGGCTTAGCTAACATATTCCATAACTTGAAACCTATTCAATAATCTTTATTTACACAGGATATAAATATAAATATAAACAAATCATAAATAATTGCTGCATAAATTAACATTAGACAAAGTTTTGGGCCTGGAAAATGGATTTGCTAAGTTGATGTTTTGGGTCTGTGTTTGAAAGTTGTTACGACTCAGCTGTCAGTTTGCTAGTTTTTATTTGCTTCCTCGTTACAGTTCTGCTGCATAGTTTTATTAGGAAATTTAGTTTGTGGTTCGATTTCTTACTATCGGAAAATTCGTTTCCCGATTTTAAAACCAATAAATCAATAAAACAACAGAAAATAGCCAATTAAAAATGTCGAGACAAAAAATTGCGACCATGTCTACAGAAGTGACGCAATCTCTCCGGAATGCAGAAAGCATGCGAAAAGTGCCATACTCCATGGATCCACGTTTGGATCAGCTGGTGGTGTATAGCTCCGTGCTGGAGCATCTGCTGCAACAGAAGCTCCACTATGAGCACGAGCGAGACATGGAGCAGCTACGCCTCGAGAGATTCAAGTGCGAGGGTGCCATAGATAATCGCATACACGTGCAAATGCAGGTTGTGAAGAAGGTGCAGGGCATGCTACCAGATATTGTCTTTAAGATGCGCAACGAGTACGACAAATTCGAGCGTTTTCTGCATAGGGAGAAGGCCCTCAAGAGCATTAATCTATCCCTATACGATAAGGGTATGCAGTTACTTAAGGCCTGCAAGAAAAATCTCGAGCAGACCCTATAGACATGGTCGCACCCGCCTACACACACACACACACACACACACACACACACACACACATCAATCACATCAATCAAACACGATTAAGTAGTTGTCGCAACAAAATTAAATGGTACCCCAGTCAACTATATGGATGCACAGAAATCTTAATGCTTGTCCATGTATTTTTAATTACAGTCATCCTAACAAGGGGCTTACCTGTTTCAGATGATTCTTCAGTATGGTACCCTCGGGCTCCGGCAATGGAGGTATCTCATCGTATCCACCTGTTGGTGGCGTCAGCTTGGTAGAATCCAAATCCACAACCCAAATATCATCGGGCAGCCTGCAAGTTTTTGATTTACATAAGTTTTCGTAAGGAACTACTGGGCTATACCGGGCACTAGCAGCAACCATCCGGTAGTACCAGGCAAACCAAGTACTACAAGGCACTACCCGGTACTTCAAGGTACCACCAAGTACTATCAGGCATTACCAGATACTACAAGGCACTACCACCACCAGGCACTTCCAGTACTAGAAACTACCAGGCACTACCGAACGCTTCCGGTACTACCCGGAACTACCGATACTGCAAATTATACCAGGCATTACTGGGCTGTACCGGAAACTACCAGGCATTGGGTAGCCCTACGAAGCATTAAACGGCACTACCGGGCGCTATGAGGCACCACCAGGACACTAGCCGTACCTAAAGTTCTTTTTATAGATGAGAAAAGAGGCTGGCACACCGATGACAAAGGGCGTGGGCGCGAGCAGCAACTGCTCGGCGCAGCTGAGGCATGTGGGCAACAACGGTATCACTGGAAACATGTACTCCAATGGATAGAGCATGGTCACGAATGCCATTACCGACATGGAGAGAGCATTATAATCGCGCGATTGGATGAGCACCTTGTTCTCCAATATGATCAGTGTCCACACCTTCAGGCATGTCTCCACGCCGAGCAGCTCGAGTGGCAAATGCAAGGGAAAGTCAACCAGCGAAAAGCGTGTGTGATCCGGTAGTGCAAACAGCAATGGTTCGTGCACAGTTGGCGACAGCACCTCTACCTGCGAAATGATGAAAAGAATTCAATAAATGGCAAATTAATAGGATAAATAATAATTGAAAATGTTTGAAAAACTCGTTAGTCTTAAAACCTATATTAAAATGGGAACAACCACATATCGAAGGATTTCATTTTAGATTTAGTGGATCTGGTATTCCGATAGACTGAAGGACCTTGGTAGAACTAAGGCTCACTGGAGATATAGTTGCAACATGTATAGACCGAATCGTGGGACGTACCTCGACACGCGTAGAGCCCGGCACCGGCACTGGCGTGGAGAGCAGACGCAATATCCATGTCTCGATCTCGCGCACATCGTGCAGCACAATGGAGGGTGTCGCCTCGCTGGCATGACCCGTCAGCACCGTCCACACATTGTCCCGATTGAGTTTCTGCGAGGCGCCGACACGCTTCGGCGACGACGACTCGTTGCAGGCATCGATCAGCTTCTTCAGTATGAAGAGACACTCGCGGAAGGTTGTAAAGAACGGATGATGCGATATGATGCAGAGCGAGGTGAGCGACTGATTGCGCAGCTTGGTGCGCTTGCGTGAGGCCCGTGGCGATGGCGAATGACTGCCGCCGGATTCAGAATCCGCTGAGGGTGCCATAAGACCCAATTTGGGCACCGAGGCGCTGCCGCCGCCGCCGCCACCGCTGCCGGTCTGTGTTGGGGGATAATGATGCGAATGGAGACGCTGCTGGTCGGAGTCGCGACGCGAGGTCAGTTCACGATCCGAATCGCTGGGCGCTACGTTACTTCTGTAGTCGCTAGAAGTAGTTAAGAGGCCGTAACTATTATGGAAATGGTTTGGAAATCGGTTAGATCAATAAAGCCAAAAGCGTAAATAGCCAACTGCGCGGCACACCACCCAGCACCAACAGCAAGCTGCCTGCACAAATACACTTGCCTGCTGAACGCCGAGTCCGAGCTGCGCTCCATGCTCTTGCGCCACGACTCCCGTCGAAATGCCGATGAGCGACGACCGCGCACACCTCCACCCCCGCCGCCGCCGACACCGATGCCGCCCGGACCGTGTCCGCCCGGCGCACCATTGCCAGGCGGACCGCCACGTTCGGCGACTGCGGCCGTTGCGGAGCTGGGCCGCTCGATGGGCCGATAGAAATTAACACAGATGCCGTAGCGCGTCTTGCCCGAATCCTTGTCCGTTAGCGCAAACACAAACGAGGTCATGTCCCGTATGGCGGAGCCGGTGCGTCGCGGTCCCACGCTGGTGCAGCCCTCCGGCTGGCAAAAGTACACCATGTCCAGCGGCAGCGGAAAGTCCGCATGGTCTGATGGTGGATAGCGTCGCAGCAAGTCGGGCACCTGGAATGCGGCCAATGAAATAACTGTTAAGAATGTTCTCGTCGAGCTTCAACGACTAGTAGATGCCCTGTAAACGGAATTGACATATGTACATATGTGCTTCTGTTTGCCCTTACACATTTGAATGACTTCGATGCCTAAAGTCCGATCTTTATGAAATTTGCAGAGCTTGGAAATGCTTTCTTCAGCCTGTTAAGCTCCTTATTGGAGAACTTCGTTAATTTTCCCTTAAATTAAAAAAGTGCTGCGTTTTCAAGGGGTTTATCCTACTTCATTTTGAATTTTAGGGAAAATAGACGAAATTCTCCAAAAAGTATAAATTTCTGACTCTGCATTCTACAAGATTCTAGTATTCGATTGTGGTATCCATTTCTCTAACAATCTCCGAGATACACCCAACAAGAGCCAAGACTTCAAAGCGATATTTATCGATTTTTAGTTAAATAAACAGACTATCTAGAAGATCCCACATCTAAACTTGACTCTTGATTCGCTCGCCCAAAAATATTTATTCATGTATCCCAAAGGACTCTAATGTACAATGGGATGCCTTCGTCCCGTTTGTTAAGTACTGGGCGCAGGGCATAAAAGCTGAACATTTCTACATTGTGGCACATTCAGTAGTAGCAAGACTCACCTGAACGGGCGGCGCTTTGCTGCCCTGCATGCCCTTGGGCATTGGCGGCGTCGTGTGCGCACCCACAATGGCCATGTAGTCGACGAGTCGCGGGCATAACGAGGCGCGTTGCTGATCCGACATTCTGTGCGATGCTCTACTCACTACCCTTGGGCGGGGACCTTGCTGTAAGTACACAGAGAGAGAGAATTAGAGAGAGAGGGAGTAGGTGAAAGATGAAATCAAAGATAAACACCATTAGTTAACATAGGGGAACAGAGGGCTGCTGGCTGCCGTTCACAAGGCCATTTGGGCAGGAGCTTCTATCCATTAGCCATGTCTGCTAATCGAGTTAAGCTCCACACGAGGCAGCCTTTCAGTAAGCCGTAAATTGAATTTGAGCCCTGTAAACAAGCGCATGCCAACAATTACCACTAAAAGGATGAATATTCTTCAGGTCCTTGACTGTGCAGAATAAAATCAAATTCAAACTCAAAATAGAACTAATTTAATTTCTGAAAGTTCTGCATTCATTCAGCTGCATTTCTAAAGCTGGATTTCTCAGTTATTTAAGCTTTTCATAATTAAAGCTGGGCATTTTTTGAAGGCATCTTCTGCTTTTAGAACATAAAGTCATAAGTATCGTAGAACTAACAAGCGTGCGGTCGCTGGTTCAAATCTGCGTCAAGCCAACAAGCGTAAAGTTGTTTAAATCTGCGACGAACTAACAAATGCAAAGTTGCTGGTTCAAAACTGCGTCGAACTAACAAGCGTGCAGTCGCTGGTTCAAAACTGCGTCGAACTAACAAGCGTGCAGTCGCTGGTTCAAATTGAGCAGCAAGTTTAAATTATTCTATTTGTTCAAATCTTGTTCAAATCTGCATCGAACTATCATGCACAAAGCTAATAGTTAAAATCTGCATCGAACTAGCAAGCCTCAAGTCGCTGGCTCAAATCTGTTCGAACTAACAAGCGTGAAGTTGCTGATTTCAATCCAGTAGAAATTTGCAATTAGTCTGTCTATTCGTTCAAATCTGCGTCGAACTAACAAGCGTGCAGTTGCTGGCTCGAAATCGGCATCGAACTAGCAAGAATAAAGTTGCTGGTTCAAATCTACGTTGAACTAAGAAGCGCTCAGTCTTTGATACAATGCAGCCGCAATTTTCAATAATTCTATTTGCTTATTTGCATTTCTAATGCACAAAGAAAAACGCAAAACAAACGGAAACTGAATGGGATTTAAAAATAATAAATAAAAAGCTTATTTTCTTTTATTTGTTCCATTATTCAGCAATGCTGAATGCGAAATAGCTGGAATTAACCACGGACATTGACGGACGATCCTTTTTTTTTTATGAAACTATAAATAAACGCTTAGTTCGCAAAGTGGGGCTTACTCCTCACGGACACGGTCCGTATTTATTAATTCACTTTGGCGCTTTTTAATTTTTAAAGATTTCTCGGAAGTTGTCCGAGCAGACCCTCAATTAAATATCCCATAATTGCTAAGCTGTCAAACAGAAATGGGGGGCGAACGCATGAAGTCCTGTGAGTGCACAATTTCATCCAATTAGCGCGTTAGAGAAGTTCTTCTCAAAATAAACGCACATCGCAGTTCTGGCCAGAGCGTTTTTATGTTTTAATTAAAGTGAAAGCGGATAGCGAAAGTGAAAAGACGTCAATTGGCTTTAAGCTGTATACAAATTGATGAAAGGCGGCGTTTTCAAGCGCGTTGCTTGCACGGCTTTAGTTTGACCTATTATATCTGAGAGACCTTTAAGCAGACATCAGCTTAAGTTCAGCCCCGTCCAGCTGCTGTTTGTGCAAAAGGTCAAAAAGTCTACGATTGCGTTTATTCCAATTGCAATTTATTTGTATTTTGTATTTTAAAGCTCTATAAATCAATCGACCTGCAGACAGGTCGAGCCAATCAGTCTCTAAGGACCCTCAGACCCATCAAGTCGGTGGCCTGCTAATGACCTTGCCACAAGAGAGACGGGCCAGGGGCAGGGCCAGGGGCAGGAGCTTGGAGATGGAATTGGACAGGCTGTCAGCAGCAGCAGGAGCCGAGCAAATGTCGCTGGCAGCAAAGCGAAATTCTTAAGAAAATAACGCAAATTGCAAATTGCCAATCGCATTGACGTCAGCCGCGAACGGATGATGGTAAACAGATTGGGTATTGGACTAGGGAAATGAGAAAAAAGTGAAATGGAAAAAAAAAAAGCGGGAAATGGAAAAAATTGTATAGGAAAAGGCGAGTGCGGCATGCAAATGCCCGCGGCTGAGCTTAGAGTTCGCTGTGGCTGGCTCTGGCTTTGATGATTGGCATGACAGAAAGTTCATTTGGCATGATTGACATGCGGCTGAGAGAGGCGGAAGAGAAATACAGAGTGGGAGAGGGAGAGGGAGAACGAGGGAACGGGGGAACGGGAGGAGGAATGAGACCTTGATGGCACTCGACAAGCTCGGGACTGTCTCAAGGACAACTACTGTGGGATTTGCAACGCGCAACACATAATTCCAAAGCACAAAGCAATTTAAAGTAAACTAGTCGGCAATAAACGACTAGAAGATACCCTACCCACACTTTATACGGGAAATGCATCCTTGATTAACTCCTGAGTTTACAGTTCGTTCTTTATGAGACTTTCAAAACTTGAATATGGCATACAAAAGTGTTTACACACCAAACCGCAAAGCTCTATCTTTAGGAAAACTGAACTTATCTAAAAAGTTACATATTTCTCAATTGTATTTAACATACAAAATCGATATTAATCGATATACGATAGATACGAACTTCGCATAGAAACCAACTTCTACCATGTGCTGGAACTAGCACAACTTCATCATTTCCTTAAAACGATAATTATCGATAGACTTAACGTCGTCGCATAGATTTGATCATATCTGAACATCGATATTTGTCGATATGCTAAGAAACGTCGCATAGATAGCACAACTTCAGCATTTCCTTAAATCGATATTTATCGATAGACTAAAAGTCGTCGCAAAGCTGCCAACTTCTAGCTTTATCATATCTAAAAATCGATATTTATCGATTTGCTAAAAGTCGTCGCGAAGCTGCCAACTTCTACCTTTATCATTTCTGAAAGTCGATATTTATCGATTTGCTAAGAGTCGTCTTAAACCTACCAACTTCTACCTTTATCATTTCTGAAAGTCGATATTTATCGATTTGCTAAGAGTCGTCTTAAAGCTACCAACTTCTACCCCTTACATAAACGGGCACAACTTTGTAATACCCTTTGAGGCATGTTGTATGTGCTTCTGGGCGGGGTTTGGGGGCGGCATCGAGTTGAAGGATGACTGCGCTTCGGCCTTGCATCTGACAATTTTCATTAGTGCGCAAAGTTTTTATGCTGCAGCCACAAGGCCAAGCAAGGAATGCGACTCTTGTGTGCGTGTGTGTGTGCGGGGGCGGGGGTGGGGGTTGGGGGGGGGGGTTGTGTCATTTGAGTGGCATTTGGCCGGTTGCACATTTCCAGCTAAAAGCCACACAAACATCGGTGCCACATGTCATGGCTAATCATGTCAAGGCTGCGGTTTTCTATATTCTATTCCCTCAACTGGCACAGACGTACGCAGCGTCGCTCAGTAAACGTTTGCTGAGCAATTGCAGTTGCAACATATATATCTGTATGCATATATATATATATATATATATATATATGTGTGTGTGTGTGTGTGTGTATTTACTGTGGCACTTGCCACATGCCACTCGCCAGTTGGTCGTCAATTTCGTTTAATGGACACAGGCAGGACGCCAACGCGTTTCAAGAGCTGGCGTCATCAGAGGCTGTAGCCGAGGTTGCGACGCATTTCAATTGTTTCCGCCCCCCTCCAACTCATGGAACGTTAAAAATAGCCAAAGGCAAAACTGTCATTCACAAAAATGAGAATAAAATAAAAGGAAAATGAAAATGGAAAACACTGTCAACGACGTTATTATGAAATGCTGCCATAAAAGAGAAAACTCTCAATAAAGCCCACGCAGTTGAAGCCTGTTTGCAAAAGGGTTTCTCGCCTACAATCCTACAATCAGCCAGTGTTGGTTAAGCCACATTAAACAAGCTTCACAAACTCACAGCAAGTTGCAATTAATCAACCAGTGTTGGTTAAGCCACATTAAACAAGCTTCACAAACTCACAGCAAGTTGCAATTAATCAACCAGTGTTGGTAAAGCCACATTAAACAAGCTTCACAAACTCACAGCAAGTTGCAATTAATCAACCAATGTTGGTTAAGCCACATTAAACAAGCTTCAAAAACTCACAGCAAGTTGCAATTAATTAACCAGTGTTGGTTAAGCCACATTAAACAAGCTTCACAAACTCACAGCAAGTTGCAATTTATCAACCAATGTTGGTTAAGCCACATTAAACAAGCTTCAAAAACTCACAGCAAGTTGCAATTAATTAACTAGTGTTGGTTAAGCCACATTAAACAAGCTTCACAAACTCACAGCAAGTTGCAATTAATCAACCAATGTTGGTTAAGCCACATTAAACAAGCTTCAAAAACTCACAGCAAGTTGCAATTAATTAACCAGTGTTGGTTAAGCCACATTAAACAAGCTTCACAAACTCACAGCAAGTTGCAATTTATCAACCAATGTTGGTTAAGCCACATTAAACAAGCTTCACAAACTCACAGCAAGTTGCAATTAATCAGCCAGTGTTGGTTAAGCCACATTAAACAAGCTTCACAAACTCACAGCAAGTTGCAATTAATCAGCCAGTGTTGGTTAAGCCACATTAAACAAGCTTCACAAACTCACAGCAAGTTGCAATTAATCAGCCAGTGTTGGTTAAGCCACATTAAACAAGCTTCACAAACTCACAGCAAGTTGCAATTAATCAACCAGTGTTGGTTAAGCCACATTAAACAAGCTTCACAAACTCACAGCAAGTTGCAATTAATCAACCAGTGTTAGTTAAGCCACATTAAACAAGCTTCACAAACTCACAGCAAGTTGCAATTAATCAACCAGTGTTGGTTAAGCCACGTTAAACAAGCTTCAGAAACTCACAGAAAGTTGTCATTAAAAATCAAATATTTATGCTCTAATCTAAGCTATCATTTCTGGTCGCATCATGAATATTTAACTAGCCCCTGTCAAATGGCACGAATATAATTGTTTCCCAGAATAGCCGTCATTATTGGCCGACAAGAGTTGGGCAAAATGTTGGACAAACTATTAAAAATTAATCACGCCCCAATCAATGCCAAATTGGCTCCGCCCTAAAACCAATCAAAATGTATTACAAAAAAAAGGCGAGCGCTGAAGCAAGCAGCTGCGAGCTCATCAAATATGCATAAAGTATATATATTCAGCACGAACTGATACGATCTAACCATGTTCAACTCGTCGTCTGTGCGAGCGCAATTATAAAGCAAGCTAAAGGAGCTAGAGTCTTGAATATATCCTTGGGAAGGGATTCTCGTGTATCATAAGCATAAGAACTTGTTTTTCTTTTCGAAATCTTTTCCCATTTACAGAACATCGATAAATATCGATGTTAACACAACATTTGCCAAGCAAAACTCTTACTTAGCCTCTCGTCTGGCATATACATCCATTATATTCCCCACTTCCCTAAGCTTCACAGAAATACATACTCATTTGTCACAGCTAAAGCCCTGTACTTAGATATTTACATACATTTAAGATCTTTAACTAGGCTCTGAAAAGTGCATAAAGATCGGACAATAAGCACCGAACTATAGTGTGTGGCTCTCTTGTAAGTAGAAGCAGCAGAGGATAGCTTGTTGCAGCTAGCTGCAGGGTATCTGCTAGTCGTGTTAAGCAACTTAAATAGGTTGAGCGCATTTCTCTTTGGTCTATTAACGATTTGGACAAGCTGTCAATATGCTAAAAGCATTTGCTGTCTTTCCCAAATCAAGTGAAATTACCTGCTCAACGTTGACAATAGATCCATCAATATTGAAACTTCTGAACTGTATTTAAAGGAAAGAGTCTCGCCTTTGTATTCAATAGAAACTGAACACCGTCAAGGATATTTTTGTCTCTTCATAAGCTCTAGGAACTTGTAAGCTTCTCGGAAAGTCTCTCGTTGCAAGCGTTGCAAGCGCCTTAAAATTGTTGACTCACTTTGTTTCATTTTGCGCGTTGCATAAGCCAGCAAAAATAAGGAAGAGAAGAGGTACAAAAAGAACAAGAAAGATTGCAACAATAACGACAATCTGTCAAAAGTTATTTTGCCTGTCAGCGAGGCGGAAATGACGAGTAGGAAATGTAGGAAAATACGGGAAAATACTGTGTCACAATAAGCTTAACAATAAAACTCAAAGCAACTCAAGCAACTGCGCATAAAGAAGGCCCTTAAAGAACGCAATAGACACCGACCCAAGAAGTACCCTTAGAAAGTATAAATAGAATTTCCTGAAATAAAGCCAAGAATTTATTCGACTTAAAGAAAGAAGTTAATTGAATCGATTGCCCTTTGGGCTGGTTTTCATTCTAAAAATTTGCTGCGTCCTTGACTTAGGAACTTTTCATATATAAAATTCCTCTTTTATTTGAAATATTTCTAGGAAATTGGGTAACAAGTTTTTGCCGATATTGTGCCCAATTATGCAACAAGCAAAAGGCAGCATCAACAGCACAAAGCAGGAAAAGTGTGTAAAGCAAAAGTTCCCTTGAACATCTATTACTTTTTCCATTGAAAATGCATTCTTAGAAGCGGACAAAGGAAAACCTTATATGACTTCTTACTGTAAATTCGTCCTTAGTCTGTTCGTCCTTCTGCCTGTGCGATGTCAGAGCTAGAGACTTTAAGATTTCGAAGTCATGGCCCGAGTATATCAAATCAATGCCCGGTTAACATAAGATCGATAAATATCGTTATCGATATACAACTCTTGCAGCTTATAGGAGCCAGAGTCACCAAATTGGCTAAATATATATACCTATTTATATATACTATCGGGTATTGTCCGACCTTGTCCGTGGAACGTTTCGTGCGCCAATAAATAAATTCTCACAAAGATCTTTGAAAAAGATTTCCAGGCCGATCGGATGGTAAGCTAAAAGCTTTCATGCAAACGTTTTTCGCGATTTTTCCACACATGCGGGTGGAATTTCCCGAAAGCCCGTCTTAACGTGCACCTACATCACGTAAGGTAACTACAGTGAAAATTTAAGTTTCTCAGGTCTTACGGTTTGGGCTGTGCGTTCATTACCAATCAGTCAGTCAAAAAGTCAGTCAGTCAGTCGATTATTCAGTCAGTCAATAAGTCATTCGATGAGTCAGTCAGTCAAAAAGTCAGTAAGTCAATCAATCAGTCAGTAAGTCAGTAAGTCAATCAGTCAGTCAGTAAGTCAATTAGTCAGTCAGTCAGTCAGTCCGTCAGTCAGTCAGTCAGGACAAACAGTCTTATATATTGAGATTTATCACTTTTTACCTTGCCCTGCGCCTCGTAGAATATTTGTAACGCTTGGTCTAGGGTATCTCCCAGTCGCTAACACCCCACTGTGGCACTTCTTCTTGTACGTTGTTTCTACAGCTCTATAAATTGTGCCAACTGTAAGACCAACATGGAAGGATTCGTTCAAATATGCTGCACATTTAGTAGATATCTACTCTAACTTTTCATTCTCGCTTTGAGTGCAAGCGTTATGCCTTAGCTGGACTCACTTGTGTTGCAGAGTATATGCAGTCTGTGCTGCTTTTGCTCTGTTTCTTTGTTGCTTTGCCCGTCTGTCCGTCTGTCGAGCCGTCCGTGATATAGCCTTAGTGCAGCACAAAAGTATGCTACGTCAAATCAGCTGCACGTCAACTGCTTTAAGAACTGGACGAAGGGTAGCTGCCGTCGCTGTCAACGTCGCTGTCGCTGTCGACGTCGCCGTCTGCGGCTCGCTGGGCCACTTACTTATGAACTCGAGTGTTGAGGCGACGTCTCTCGGGCGTTGCTTTTTCAATTAATTTGACGCTATGCGACTCGTTTTACATGTGTAAGCATGCATGTGGGTATGCGTGTGGGTGTGCGTGTGTGTGTGCACGCCTGGGGCCTGTCGAGTGGTGTGAATGACTTGTTGTTGTTGTTGGCTCGCACGTGCCCAGTTGTTAGCTGTTGGGCCAGAAAATCGATAAAAGGCTCGGCAATTGCATTGCGTTCTGCCAGGCTGATGGTCAAAGCCAAGCAGAGCGACAGAGACAGCAACAGCGAGTGAATGGCGAATGGGGAATGGGGAATGGGGAGTGGGAAAGAGGAAGCAGCAGAGCTGAAGCTGAAGCTGAAGCAAAGCCAACGGAGCAGCCAGCCACATCATCAAGGCCACAAAATGTGACAGCCAAGCTGTGAAAGCTTATCGTACACACACACGCACACACAAAACAAGTAACAAGCGCGAAATGTGATGAGCAAATTCAATTAATGCAAAGTGGGCAACAAAACATAAAAATGATGCATAAAAAATTCATTGGAAAATAAGTAAAGCCAAAGGCCAAAGCAAATACAAACACACACACACGCACACAGACAAATGCCCGCATTTAATGCGAAATGCGCTCGAAAGTGTGCTATAAACGTAAAGCAAAAAAAAAAAGTAAGGCAAAAGCAAAAGCAAACGCAAAATGAACGCCGCTGCGCCGACAGCTGGGACTTCCAAGCCAGCCAAAAATACGCGACGCTAGTGAGGTGGGTTGACAAGGCTAAGCAGCAGAGCGGGAGTAACAATGACACACACATACACAGCATGCGTACTCACTCGCACACACACACGCACACGCAGCGGGCGTTCGCGTACGCAACAAGGTCACTGGAAAAATCGTTAAGCAGCAGCAGCAGTAACAAAAGCAATGACAACAACAGTAGCAGCAGCAGAAATGAATGTGTCGATACCTAAGCTATTGTTGTTGTAGTAGTATACACACACACACACACACACACACACACACATGCAGAGCTGCGTGTAATTTTATGGGAACACAGTTTTAAGAAAAACATAGCACAGTTTTGGCAATAATTTACTTACCAGTTCGTCAGGCAATTATTGTTGTCAATCAGCTCAATGCGTCAACATTTTCTATGCAATACAATTGTTGCGCTGGGGAGAGTGCAGTATAACAGCAAAGCACGCGCCACACAAAAGTACGCAAACAGCAGCAACAACAATAACAACAACAAGAACAAGAACAAGAAAAAAATAAATGAAACACGCGCTCAAAAGCAATAGGCACACGGTTAACTGTTATTTATTTGCTCTCCACAAGCAGCGTTTTGCTCAAATGCAGCTACTGTGCTCCAACTGGCAACTGTGCTATTTGTCAACTGCCGTTAAAGCGTCTGTGCAGCGCGCTGTTCGTCGTATAACTGATTACTGTGACTAATAAGCATCCAGGACGCGGGCCCGTTGTGTGTGTTTTGTGTGGTGTGGTGGATTGTGGTGAATTGTGGTGGCTATTGTGTGGCCGCATGTTGAAATTCCTATACGCGTGCATTTGGCCGTTGCCAGACTGGAAATGCCGTGCGCGCCAGTCGGCCATTTGGCGCTTAGCCACTTTTTTATTTCTCTACTCATTTCTATGCCGCACTTGTTGGATTCCGCTTCCAGTCACTGCGCATGCCTCCTGCCAGCCACGTGCGTTCCAATGCACAAACAACGACAACTGAGCTGTGTATGTGTGTGTGTGTGTGTGTGTGTGCGTGCGTGTAAAAACCCAAAAACGCCGCCCCGCTTTGCTCTTGGAATTGAGCTAAAATAGACGCGAGTCAAGCGAAAATAAAACCAAAGCCAAAGTAAATGTGTATAAGTGTGTACAAGTGTGTACAAGTGTGTATAAGTGTGTATACGTGCGCGTGTTGGAGCACACTCTGTAGTATTATTTCGTATTGTGGTATGTGTACAAAAAAAATCTGCCTTGCGGCAGTCATTAGGCATTTTCTCTTATACTACTTTAGGGCTTCAATTTAAGCTTAACTATTTAACTGCAATGAAAGCTCGAACTCTGAACGAGGAAGTTAGCCATACACAAAATTTAGCTGTAAAATGGCTAAGAAGGCAGCTGCTTGGCTTGGCAACAGTTGGACAATTAGCCAAACCTAGTCACAAAATAGCTATGAATTGCGAAAAAAATCTAGCAGTTAAATGGCTACGTTAGCTGTACCAGCTTTTAAGATAAAAACAATTTGCGTGCTAGATAAATTTAGCCGTAAAACGGCTAAACGGATAAAATGGCTACAAATGGTAGCGACAACTCTATAATTGAAAAAACAAGAACACAAATCTTAGCTGCAAAGAAAATGTAGCCTTAAAATGCTATAAATAACTCTTAAATTGGAATTTGTTGGACAAGAAAAATCCTTTAAATTGCTTCTCACATAAAAACAGCTAGCCAACAAACAATATATAGCTATAAAACAGCTAAATAGGCAACCAACTAGAAGTGTTTATAAATTTGGCATCTAAATCTGGCAACAATTTTATTGGTAAAAATTCAGGTAAAAATGGGACCCTCAAATAGGTCGAAATGTATGTATGTATGTACCTATGTATGTATGTATTTACGTGTGCATGTATGTGTATATGTATTATGTCGTGTATGACAATATGAATTTATGAATGTATGTAAATGTGTTTTTGTGTGTATGTATGTATAACATGAATGTGTATAAACATGTATATAAGTATATACATATGTATGTATGTTTGTATTATTGTCTGTAATTATAATAGTATTTTGTACGAAGGATATAAGTATTATATATATTTACATGTGTGTGTGTGTGCGTGGGCGTATGTGTGTTAGTATATGCATGCATGTATGTATGCTCACATGTATATATGTATGCAAACATATTTGCTTTCTAATATTAAACGCAGACAAAGCTTATTTGTCGCTGTGCTGCAAATTTAAATAAAACGAATTTCTGTCAAGTGCTCTCCTCCTCGATTCTCAAGAATTCAAGTAGGCTCTGCAGTTTTCATGCTTAGCTAGCAGTGTAGTGTTATTTTTTTTTTTTTTGTCTGGTTTTTTTTTATGTGGACTTTTATATGTATGTATGTATGTAGATATGTATGTATGTATCTATGTATGTATGTATGTATGTATGTAAGTATGTATGTGTGTATGTATGTATGTATGTAAGTATGTATGTATGTATGTATGTACGTATGTATGTATGTATGTAAGTATGTATGTATGTATGTATGTATGTGTGTGTGTATGTATGTATGTATGTATCTATGTATGTATGTATGTATGTATGTATGTATGTAAGTATGTATGTATGTAAGTATGTATGTATGTATGTATGTATATGTGTATATATTTATATATGCATGTGTGTATGTATGTATGTATGTATGTGTGTGTGTATGTATGTATGTATGTATGTATCTATGTATCTATGTATGTATGTATGTATGTAGGTATGTATGTAGGTATGTATGTATGTATGTATGTATGTATGTATGTATGTATGTATGTATGTATGTATGTATGTAGGTATGTATGTATGTATGTATGTATATGTGTATATATTTATATAAGCATGTATGTATGTATGTAAGTATGTATGTATGTATGTGTGTATGTATGTAAGTGTGTGTGTATGTATGTATGTATCTATGTATCTATGTATGCATGTATGTATGTATGTATGTATGTATGTATGTATGTATGTATGTAAGTATGTATGTATGTAGGTATGTATGTATGTATGTACGTATGTATGTATGTATGTATGTATGTATGTAAATATTTATGTATGTATGTATGTATGTAGGTATGTATGTATGTATGTATGTATGTATGTATGTATGTATATATGTATGTATGCATGCATGTATGTATCTATGTATGTATGTATGTATGTATGTATGTATGTATGTATGTATGTATGTATGTATGTAAGTATGTATGTATGTATGTATGTGTGTATGTATATATGTATGTATGTATGTATGTATAAATATATGAGTGTATTTATATGCATGTGTGAATATGTGTGTATGTATGTGTATTAAAAAAAAACGTAATCTTAACTAATGCCCTACTACGCGATTCTCATGAATTCAAGTAGGTCGTATGAAAAGTCTACGGGCTTCACTTTATGTGGTAGAGGCAGCGGCTTGAATATTGGAGGAGGCGGCAACTTAAGCATAAGAGGAGGCGGCTTCAACTATAGAGGAGACGGCAGCTTGAGCAAAGGAGGAGGCGGCTCGAACGATGAAGTAGACGGTGGCCTTAACTATGGAGGAGACGGCAGCTTTAGCGAATGAGGAGTCGGTATCAACTTGCTGGAGGCAGTGTCTGTGGCTTTGGCGGAGGCCATTGAATCAACTGGTACGTATTACAAATATAATCAATTATTATTAACAAAAGTAATAACTATTACAATCATATGAATGCATATTGGTTTGCATGCATTTGAATACTGAGCTGAGCTCAGCTGAGCTGAAAAGTAAACGTATTTATAAATATTGCTCTTCTACGCGATTCTCACAAATTCAAATCAGGTTCAACAAACAAGCCGTATTTGCACTAATAAACCATTTTTCTGCTTTTCTTTCAGTTTAGTGTTTTCAGTGCATTTATTTATAAAAGTTTGTCGCCCGCCTTCCGATGACAATAAAATAATCCTGCGAGAGAGTTTACAGGTGAGTATACAATTACAAATATATATTTATCTCTATATATAAAACTTTTTGTCCCAACTGGACAATTGGGTAAATGAGCGGGAAATGGGTGAAAAAGTTAATGATAGAAATCCATTTTAAAACCGACATTTTTATTCTTAGTCGAAAATCATCTGAAAATTGCACCCTCATATATCCTATATAAACAAACATAGTTCAAAATTTCCCATCCCCATAACTTTGTCAAATCTCATCCGATTTTCACGAGGTTTGGCTCTTTGTTCTTGGTTTGAGATCTAGATAAATTTGGCATTTAAATCTAGAAACATTATTCTTGGTCGAAATTCATGTAAAAATTGTAACCTTAAATCTCCTATATAGACATACATAGCTCGAAATTTCCCACCCCCATAACTCAATGAAATCTCATCCGATTTTCACGAGGTTTGGCTCTTTGTTCATGGCTTGACCTCTAGATCAATTGTTCACCTAAATCTAGAAACATTATTCTTGGTCGAAATTCATGTGAAAATGAGACCCTCAAATATGTCAAAATTTCCCATCCCCAAACTCAGGCATAGCTCAAAATTTCCCACGCCCATAACTCGATGAAATCTCGTCCGATTTTCACAAGCTTTGGCTCTTTGTTCATGGTTTCGTCTCTTGATCAATTAAGCAACTACTAAATCAGGCTAAATTCAGCCATAAAAAAAGCTAGATTAGCAGCAGCAGCTGACGAATCGCTTTGCTTAAATCCTTGGATGTTTATTGGACAAACATTTACAACGTTAGAACATAAAAAATAGATATATATATATAAATTTAAAATATACACAAAATTGCAGTTGGACTGCATTAGAAACTACAACAATTGAATTAAGAAATGTTTTTTGTTTTTGAATTGTTTTCCTTTTTGTTATTTGTTTTTTTTTTTAATGGGGGCCATGTGCGCGACGAGCTTAAAGCTAGAGGGGAGACCGCATGGGCGGCGTCTCCCGCTATAAATGCACATTCTGAGGGGGAGTTGGTTAGGAAAAGTGCGTCACATGGCGGCCAAACTGAGTTGCTGTTGTTGTTGTAGAGGTTTTTCCTATGTTTTTTGTAAATAAATGCAAGAGAACAGCCTTAACGGTTGATCAGTGGAGCTGGCCCTGGCCCTGGCCCTGGAGCTGGCCCTGGTCGCGGGCTTAGCGCAGCAAAAAGAGCGCCGGCTGCTCGAGATGCTGTTTCCAGACATTGGAAAAGCTGGCCATGGTGACGCCGTCGATGACCCGATGATCCGCCGACCAGCTGACGCTCATGATGTGCGCCTTGATCACCTCGTCCTTATCATTGAAACGCGGCACAGCCTTGGTCCTTCCCATGGCCCCGATGGCCACCTGGGGCGCCATGATGCACGGATGCGTATAGGTGCCGCCCACCTGTGAGATGAGATAGAACCAGGTAAAAACATTTAAGGCCAGTTTGACAACAATTGTATAGCCTGACAGACAGCTACAGATTTAGTAGCCCTAAACTTTTAAAACTCGAATTAAAGATTTGTCTATGTTCTGTTCCCCAATGACTCAACGACTCTGTCAATCAGTTAGTACGCCGAACAGTCACTCAGTCAGTTAATCAATCAGTCATTCTGTTAGTGATTTAATCGGTCCTTCAATCAGTAAGTCAATCAACCAGGTAATCAGTAAATGAATCAGTGAATTAGTCAGTTAATCAGTTGATCAGTCAATCAATCGGTAAAACAGTCAAACATTTAGCCAAGCCATCAATCAGGCTGATTAGTAAGTCAAATTGTCAGTCTGTCAAACAACCAGGCAATTTATCATTCAGTAAGTCAGTCAATCAGTTAGTTAGTCAATCAGTCAGCCAGACAATCAATCAATCATTCAGCTAGTTGGCCAGCAAGTAAACCAATCACAATCAATCGTACATTCAGTCAATCAGTCACTCAGTCAATTAGATAGTCAATCGGTTATTAAGCCAGACTGTCAATCAAAGTGTCAGTAAATCAAACATTAAGTCAGTTAGTCAGCCAGTCAAACAATCACAATCAATCATAGCCACTCAGTCAATCAATCAATAAATCAGTTAGTCAGTTAATTAGTTAGAAAATCAGCCAGTCAATCATTCGTTCAGTTGGTCACTCAGTCAGTTAAGGTAATGAATCAATCAGTCATTCAGTATGTCAATCAGACTGTCAATCAAAGAGTCAGTAAATCAATCATTAAGTCAGTTAGTCAATTAGTCAGTCAGTCAGTCAAACAATCACAATCAATCATAGCCACACAGTCAATCAATCAATAAATCAGTTAGTCAATCAATTAGTTCGAAAATCAGTTAGTCAAACAGCCAGTCAATCATTCGTTCAGTTGGTCACTCAGTCAGTTAAGGTAATGAATCAATCAGTCAGTCAGTCAGTATGTCAATCAAGAATACATGTACTTCCGGTTCAGATTTACTGACAATACTAGAATACTAGATAATCCCGTCGGCAAGGGTATCATGAGTTCAGTGTGCAGCCACTTACAACGCCAATGTTGGACAAGGAGAAGGTGCCATCGGCAAAGTCCGCTGGGGTCAGGGAGCCAGTGCGTCCGCGCTCGACAAGAGCATTCAGGTCCTTGGCTATCTGAATGATGCCCTTCGCCTGACAGTTCTTAATGTTGGGCACGACCAGGCCCTGCGGCGTGTCAATGGCCACGCTTATGTTGTGTACACCCTTGTAGATAATCGACTCGCTGACCAGATCCAGGGAGCTGTTCACAATCGGATACTTGGCCAGGCCAATGCTGGCCGCCTTAATGCAGAACGGCATAAAGGTTAGCTTGGGCACGCCCTGCTCCTGGGCAGCCGACTGCAGCTGGGCGCGAAACTTAACCAGATTCGACATGTCGATCTCATCGCTGTACGCAAAATGTGGAATTTTCTGTGAAAACAAGAAAATGCTTTAAATGCCTCGCACTATGGAACATCTATTCCTCCAAATATTTCTGTTTTTGGGTGAAGAAATGTATTGCGAATCTATATACCAAGTTTCATATATTTAGCTCTTAAGATCACAGAGTTATGCTCAAAGAGACAAGGCTTAAGAACGATATTTATCGATTTGGAGATATCGATGTTTATCGATTTGTAGGAAACCACGATTAATTTCTAGTAACTTGCTTTGCGCGGGCTACACAAAAACATACTTAACGAATTGCATGCAACTAGTGTTATAGCCACAGCGAAAACTTCACTTTTAAAATCGATATTTATCGATTTTTATAAAAATATCGCTTAAAAATGAGATAAACGTGGCCTGGGTTTGATATATAAGCCAAATTTGGTGCCGTCAGCTCTTTAAATTTCCTAGATATGCTTAAGAGCTCGAAACCGAAAATCGATATATATCGATATATATCGATTTGTGCAGAATGGAAGAGTTATCGGGGGAAAAGTAGCTAACTGTGGTCTGCGTATGACATATATATAACGAGCATACCAAATTTTGTGTAACTCTCAGAGATGTGCTAAAAGTATCGATACTGAAAATCGATATTTATCGTTGCTTAGCGCTATCTCTATAAAACTTGCATGGAATCGGCGGAGCGTAAGCAAACAGTTAATTAATCTCTGCAAAGCGTGAGCTAAAAAAAATAAATTTCAATTATGCACAAAGCAGCTCATCTGCCAATCGATAATTATCGATTTTGTGAAAATGTTGAGCTAACACTGATAGCTAAGAAGGAAAACAAAAGCAGGGTATAACGTTTAACGTACCAGCGATTCCGTCATGGACTTGAGCATGGCCTTGCGAACGCCTTTGAGCGGCTCGACGCGATCCGCAGGCGCCGCCACGTCCGGAGCAGCTGCAGCTGGAGGAGCCGCCGCTGCCGCCTGCCTGATCAAATTGCTGGGATGGGGCACATTTGTGCCCGGCGGCACTTGACCCAAATACTCGAGCACATCGCCCTTGAGGACGCGTCCATTCTTGCCCGTTGGCGGCACCTCAAACAGATTCACCTTGTGCTCCTTGGCCAGGCGGCGAACGGCGGGCGTGGCCGGGGTTATGTGACGCCCAGCGCCAGCCTGGACACCAGCGTTAGGTTGAGCGGGCTCCATGTCGCTGCTGTCGCTGCTGCTGCTGCTGCTGCCGTCCTCATCATCGTCCGCATCCTCCACCTCGAACTCGAGCAGCGGCTTGCCGACCAGCGCCAGCTCATCGATGCTGTGATAGATTTTCGTGATTTTGCCATCGTAGCGGCTGGTTATCGTCACCGATGCCTTGTCCGACTGCACCTCGCACAGGTTGTCGAACTGCTCGACGGTGTCGCCCACCTTCACGTACCACTCCTTGACGGTCACCTCCCTGATGCCCTCCCCGATGTCGCTCAGGTTGAAGGCCACCTTCTTCTCCAGGCAGGGCGTCAAGTGCAGGCAACGCGCCAGCTTAAAACAAACAACATACAAATTCCAAATGTTCAATTCGAATTTCAATACAAAGTGCAAATTCTACAAAAAACAGGAGTCGCGGCTGACCGACTGGCAGTTACCCTGTAGACAGCTAAAAATATATATTACTCAAAATATATTCTCTTTAAATCGATATTTATCGATATTTTGACAGTTAATCTCATTCTTCTAACAAACAGACAGACACTGATCGAGCATACATGTATATATATGTCCATGGCGTGTCTTCCTCCACATGTTACATGCACACTCTCAAAACCCAATATACCCTCTCTTGAACATATATTAAATAGGGTGCAGCGCATAGAATTGTAAAGTCAAGTAAACATGCGCCCCCTTTCGGAATTCATGCTACAACAGCAACACAACTGGCCCTCTCTATCTCGCCCTCTCTCTCGCTCTCTCTCTCTCTCTCTTTCGCGTAGAGGCATGCTATTGCGCTCGCACGCATGCAGGCCATTGGCTGCTCGAATTGACACTTGTTGTGCGCGAATTCGATTACATAACAGAACATTGCAGAACTTCGCGAACTTGCCGTTTGTCGTCGCTTTAGCAGCTCTTCAAGAGCCATCAGAAAGGTGTATAGAAAACGTATTTAATTGAAATCATTATAAATGCATGTACTCACAGTGAGTGGCCTCGAGCGACGACAGTTTCTGAGCAGCCAATATGTGCTGGCATTGCGGAGCAGGTGTGTTGCCATTGCCATAATGTGTGCCGCGTTGGTTAAAGCGTTTTGACTGGCCTGTAAGTGTTAGATGAAGCACATTTGTGTTATGCCTGCGCTGGCTGTTTAACTGGACATCAAATACCTTTAAATGCTGCGAAATGTGTGCGTCGACGCGTTACAACCACTCAACTGCCCCCTAATGATCGCCCTTATAAAGCGAACTTGCGGCTCTGAGTTTGTTTTGCATTTGCCAGCTGTTTGCCAGGTGGAGCTGATCATCGCGCTGGCGCCAGCTACCGGTTTAACGACACAATATCGATAGGCTGCGGCGAAAGTATCGATTGCCGTGCACGGTGATGCACGAATTGGTAGGCTGATCGTTGCCATGGCTCCACCTAGCGACCGTATTGTTAGGTACGCCAAAAAAAATGCTAACACATGCTCGTTAGATTCATTTTTCTAAATTTATTAAAACAGTTATGTCATGTTACTTAGGCTGAAATAAAAAAAATGTACACCTGCAGCTTATATATTAATTTATAGCTGCGGCCGTTGAGCTGCGAGCTGACGTGAAAATGGCTAGATTGCCAACACTGCAACTGTGCAAATCAAAATGGTTATCGTTGCGCTTGCGCCCTCTAGCGCCAACGGCAGCCGTACTATCGATAGCTGCCAACAGCTGAACCAAACAAAAACAACGTGCTCACCACAATGGCAAGTCGTGGAAATCTTATTTATTTTTAACAAATATAATAAATGTAGTTATAATAATTGCAGACGAACTTGCGCAAGGAGCTGGAGAAATGCAAACACCCGAACAGCCGTAAGACCAAGGCGCTCGGCAAGAAGGCGCGCCGGCAGAACAACAAGCACAAAGTGCGGCTCGGCCATGCCATTAAAAGCAATCTGATGGGCGAGAAGCTGAGCTGGTTTCTGGGCCACATCGACGAGGGCCGAACAACGCCGCTTAATCCGCAGGAATTCGAGAATCTAATTGCGCTCTATCTGCAACGTTTCGACGAGGAACTGGCGCAAATCGCGCTAAAGCAATCAATTGGCAAACATCGCGCCAATCAGCACGCGGCGCGTCGTGATGTTATTAACATAACGCTGGAAAAGGAGCGCAACGAGTACCAAAGCGGCGGCATGGGTGAGCGACAGCCAAACCCAGGTTTATTAGACAAACCAAATTGCATTTTTTCCATTCCACAGAAATGCTGAACCTGTGCGATGCGGCCAAATTCAAGGCGCTGCTCGACTGGGATGGCAGCGCCTTGAGCGTGCAGCATTTAAAGCTAGATTTGGTCTCGCACAACATGCTGCAGCGGCTAAAGCAGCCGCCGGCAGCCGCAAGCGGAAGCGGCGCCAAAACGCAGCAAATGGAGACGGTATAAAAAACAGTTGTTATAATTCTCTCTTTTATTTCAATAAATAATATCTAGCTAACTGTAGTCACGAATAAAAAAAAACAAACCATTGCATTGTTTGCATATCGATAACAGTTGCGATAGTTGACCTGCATTGCGCGCGATAATCGCCAGTGCTGTCGGCCTTTGAGCAGAAAAAAAGCTAGCTGCGGGTTGAAAATTGAAAATAAAGTCTGTACATATATATATGTATGTGCAGCAGATTTGTTTGTTAATATGCGCAAATGTAATCTACTTCACTATTACCCGTAAATATTTTGTTTGCAACATTTAATTATATATATATTTATGCCCCGTACTATCATGATCTTAATAAGCGTGACAAGTTCCCTTTAATACAATTTAGTATCAAATTAACTAAAAAAAAAAGGGAAAAAACAAAATCGGAATTCCCGCTGAAATGTTCTTAAATTGCACTCGAAAAAAAAAAGCCAAAATTTAACTGTAAAAAAGCCGGATGGACAACACTGCCAAGCACGTGCGCTGCAGCGCTGCCTATCGATAGGCAAAGGCACAGCTGTTTGACGTATGTTCGTGTGTGTGTGAACTTGAATTGTTATTTGTGTGCGCCGATAAATAGAATTGTGGTGAAATAAAGTGCACATATATTTTGATTTTTGGTAAGTTTTATTACATAAACAAAGGCAAGCAAAAGTGCAACGTATTAAACTAATAGCAGCGCATTTTTTTGTCTCAAGTCACGCGTAAATAACACAAACACAATGGGCAGCAATTCATCCAAGGGAGTCGGAGTCGTGGAGACCGCTGCAGCGCCCGCGCTCAAGGCCACAGACACAGCGTCCGCCGCCGGCGGTGTCAGCGGTGACAAACCCAAATGCAAAGCCTGCTGTGCCTGTCCCGAAACGAAGCGTGCACGTGATCAATGGTAAGTAAATGCAGATGACGCAACATATTCTGGTTTTTTCATAATGAATTGACCATTTCTGCTGTGCAGCATTGTGGAAAACGGCGAGGAGAACTGCACAAAGCTCATTGAGGCGCACAAGCAGTGCATGCGCGATGCTGGCTTCAATATCTAAAGCTGGAGCTGGGCGGTGTGGTCGGAGTACTTAGAATAAGGCGGCAGACCCTCACTTCGTAGTCGCTGCGCCGAGCTCCTTAACTAAAATTACTCTCTCTTTTTTTGTTTCGTTGAGATATAAGCTAATTATAGTTAATTTAATGGAAAACATAAACCAAAATTGTTGATACCAATTGCATGTTTCGATCCACTGTTTACCCGCTCACGGGAAGGCTGCAGCTGTGACGTCACAAAGTCCCGCGCTGTTGCAGCTAGTTATTTATGTATTGAGTTAACATACAATTACAAAGAAAAAACCTTAAAGCTCTGCAGCCCTAGACCAGTTTGTGCTGCCCTGGCAACGTGCGCCAGTGACGTCAGCGTGCCACTGTTTGCCTGCAAGTATCACGCTGCAGCTGTGACGTCACAAAACGCGCGCTGGTGCAGCTACTAAGTTATTTATTGAGTTTGCGTACAATTACAAAAAAAAAAAACCTTAAAGCTCAGCAACCCTAGACCAGTTTGTGCTACCCTGGCAATATGAGCCAGTGACGTCAGCGCGCGCGCTAAGTTGGCGCTATTTCTTAAATCTAACAATTGTTGAATTCACTTAAATAAAACGCAGGGTACGCAAGGCAACTACGGCGGCCATGTAGAAGGTAATCAGCATCATGGTGGCAAAGGCGAGAATACGCGATGGCTGTGGCACTGGATAGACGGCATAGACGAGCGTGTGGACAATGCGTGCAATGGCAGCCACGCGGAACAGATTGCAGGCCACCAGGGGATTGGGGTTGGTGCACACATAGATCAAGGCCATGATAAAGTAGGGCAAAATATTCTCCATGTCATTGCGATGCGCTCTACAGAGAGAGAAAGAGAGAGAGAGAGGGCGCGTGAGCTGTCTGCCTATTCCAGGTCCTGTTTCTGGACGCAACCCACCTGCGCACGCGTTCCACGTGCGGATCATCGAACTGCACTTCAATGTTCTTGAAGAACAGATCCTCCTCGTTGGGAAATACCTGAAAAGTGGTAGCAGGCAATTTTTAACTGGAATACGCCGATTGGAAGGTAAGCAGAAACCATTTCCACTTAAGATTTTGCTTAAGTGCAAGCGAGAGGGAAAGTCAAGAACAAGGGTGATTGGGTGGGGGGATTGCCGAGCGCGCACACGTCACATTTGTGTGTGGCAAAATAGCTCACTCGTTTGCGCGTTGAGTGTAATTGCGATGTTGAGTGTATGGGCGAAAGGGAAAGTAATTAACAGTAATGTTAAAGAAAACAAAAATTGTAAATTGAATAATGTTAACATGAGCCACACGCAATGCTGGCTTGCATTAACAGAGAGCGTTCAGTGTGCATTTTAAAGAGAGAGAGAGAAAGACACTCAAACTTGCGTGTAATTGCGATCGACAGTGTATGGGACGCTTCAGCGTGCAAATGAGAGCGAGAGTAAAACAGATGCCAAAGAGAGCAGGATTATGAATGGAAGTATGTATGTTAAGGAGCTTGGTGAGCAGCTCGTTTACTCAATGTTTGAGTGCAGTTCCCGTGCTTGAGTGCAGTTCTGATCGACAGCTTGAGTGAATGAGAGTGAGAGTAAAAAGTGGGCTTTTGGGTGCCACACTGTACACTGTACATATGCATGAGGGATTTACCTTGCGCCGCACAGCCAGTGGGACCAGACCCAGCAGCTGTGAAAATGTTAAATGCGACATGAGCAAGTGCAGCTGGCTGCGTTTGGCCAGGACTCACCTTGTAGCGGAAACGCTGCAGCGCCGTCAGCAGGGACATGAGCAGCATCTTGGCCACCAGCACCGTGGCCCAAAAGAGATAGCAACAGAAGACAGGATTGTCCAGTGTCAGCAGCTCCATGTTGGCCAGTTGGCTGCCATTATTATTATTATTATTAATATTAATATTATGCATCGGGTTGGACATGGCGAGCGCGTGTTTTGTCTGTGCGGCTGAAGCGAGCTTTGGCAAGTGATCCAATGTGGAGCCAGTTCCAAGCTAGCAGACCAGCAGCAACTGGCCAAACTGGTTCCAAATTTCGCGCGTGTGTGCATATGTGTGTGTGTGCGTGTAAGGCAGAACATAAAATGTTAAACGGCTCATTAAACCGACGCCCCCCCTGCTGCTGCTCCGCCGCCCCTTTTAGATTTTAGATGTATTTAACGGCAGCGATGAGCACATAGATCGCCTCGAAACACACAATGCCAAAAGTTACGAAAAAGCTGAACGCTCGCGTCGGCTGCGGCAGCGGCAGCACCGCGTAGACAATTGTGTGCAGCAGCCGTGCGCTGGCGCCAATGCGTATCAGCAGCTTGGCGGTCAGGGGGTGGGGGCCGCAGGCCACGTAGGCCAGGGACATCAGCAAAAATGGCAGCACATTCTCCAAATCGTTGCGATGGGCCCTGCAAATATGTAGATGAACAGAGTGTGTCAGAGAGAATGAAAGAGAGAGAGAGAGAGTGTGAGTGATGGAGTGAGGGGGGGGGGGGGGTAATGTTAATTTTGCAATGTAAACAAAGAATTGGGTGCCCACACACGACACATTTGCGAAAGAAAGAACCAGTGAAAGTATTTAATTGTACGGGAGCTCAGTGGCTTTCAAACTGTGACAAGGAAATTGCAATTTGCGGATGCATGAGTGTCGCATTAGATATGGATCGATTTTTAGAGCTCTACAATTAGACAGAGAGAGAGAGAGAGAGGGGGGGGTGTCAATTTGGCAATGTAAACAAATAATTGGGTGCCCACACACGACACATTTGCCAAAAAAAGGAACCAGTGAAAGTATTTAATTGTGCTGGAGCTCAGTGGCTTTCAAACTGTGACAAAGGAATAGCATTAAATATGGATCGATTAAAAGGGCTGTAAAATTAAAATTAAGGAATATCGATTTACCCTTTTACCACCAACTATAAATAGACACACACACTTTCTACTCTAGTAAATGTAGCACAGTGTGTGCGACTCATGGAACAGTGTGCGCGAGCGAGAGCGAAAGTCATGCAACACGTCAGTGTTGCCAACTTCCACTTGAAACAAGAATACGAATCAATTATTTAACAGCTAAAGGTGGATACAGCGAATAACTAAACATGGAGAGGCCTATAAATAGCGGCTAAACATTTGTTTCAATTGTGAAAATAGCCAAGTTTAGCTAGAAAAGCTTAAATTGCCGACATGCATAAGAATCAAATGGAACACGCATGATGCATCGTGTGTGGGACCCTTTAATCAGCGTGACGTCACAAATGGGCTTGCGATGGAAAATGTGTTTTGTAATTTGAAGAGATAATTTGGAAGAGATTTTCGATTTTCGATTTTCGACTCACCGACGCACTCGCTCCACATTGGGATCATTGAAACGGACATCGCTGGTCTTGCCCACCCTCAAATCCTCCGGATTGGCAAAGGTTTTGGTCTTGATGCGCTGACGTGCCGTCAACAAGGCCATTAACATCATCTTGAGAATCAGCAGGCTGCTCCAGAATAGATAACAGCAGAAAACCGGATTCGATTTGCTCAGCAATGCCGGACCGACAACCGGACTTATGGACATGTTAATCGTCTCGTTGTTCATATTTAACTGTAGCCGTTAACCGTTTGGCGGTTAACTGTTATTTGTTGTTTGGGCCACCATAACGGCATTACAGCTGGCACGCTTCCCAGCGCCAATATCCTGCATAAATCGCAGCCCCGAACTGACCCCGAACCATGCGACCCGCCCCACCTGCACACAATCGGCAGTTTTACCTGCTCGCAAGTCAATTATTTACCGTCTTTTACCTAATGTTTCCTTGACTTTTCGAATATATATATATATATATGTGTATATATATCTATGGGAATTTAATAATAGCCATAACTGGCGATTGGTAAACTGATACGTGGTATTGCATTTCGAACACAATTGGCAAATATGTGCACACTGGCAAATACTAGGAAAGCATATCTAATATTTATACACATATAAACATATATATACATCACCTGATATCATAGGCCTAGCCCTGGCCAAGAGTGCGTTAGAAAGGAGACATCTCCGATCCCGTAAAGTATATAATATGTATATATACTACATTATATATTCCAGATCAACATCAAAAGTCTCTCTGTTTCTATTCTAGTCTCCCAGTTTTGCATAGATCCCGTCTTTTGGTTGCAGACAGTACATTTGATCGGACCTGATCGGAGCACTATATCATATAGCTGGCAAGTTCCTCTATGGAAAGCTATATTCAGATATTCAGTTATCTATCATATTTAAGTTTCACTGTGCTCCTTTATATATATATACAAATTCGTAACAACATCGGAGCACAATATCATATAGCTTTAATAGAAAGGATCTGTCGAAAATTCTGTTTTCTAGGATATTTTCATCAAGATCAGCATTTACGAACTTCACTATTCTCACATATGTATCTGCCAAGGAGAAATGTCTTACTCATTCTCGTTTTTCTTTTCGCTCAGTTTTCACCGAATTTCCACCCAGGTTCGTGTATTCCAATATCCAAAGTTTTCATCATTAGGATCATATGTTCCTACACTTTACACATTTTGGTTTTTTTTACATTCAACTTTGAAAATGTGTTTAACGCAAATCGCTTGATGAACAAAGAAGTTTTATAGCAGCGCTTAACATCAATTTTCCTTACTACTCACATAGGCAGATTATTGTAAAAAAGGGTACTTGATAGAGTTTTTACGGTGTGGTGACCATCAATCAATCAATCAGTACGTCAGACGAGGAGTCAAGCAGTCAGTTCGTCAGACAATTGGTCTGTGAGTCGGTCAATCAGTCAGTTCGTCCGACTATTGGTCAGTGAGTCAATCAATTAGTCAGTCCGTCCGACTTTTGGTCTGTGAGTCAATCAATCAGTCAGTCCGTCCGACTATTGGTCTGTGAGTCAGTCAATCAAGCAGTCAGTTCGTCAGACAATTGGTCTGTGAGTCAGTCAATCAGTCAGTACGTTAAACAATTGGTTAGTCAGTCAGTCAGTCCGTCCGACTATTGGTCAGCTAGTCAGTCAATCAGTCAGTCCGTCAGACAATTGGTCAGTCAATCAGTCAGTTCGTCCGACTATTGGTCAGTGAGTCAATCAGTCAGTCAGTCCGTTAAACACTGAGTCAGTCAATCAGTCAGTCCGACAGACAATTAGTGAGTCAATCAATCAGTCAGTCTATCCGACTATTTGTCAGTGAGTCAATCAATGTCAGTCCGTTAAACACTGTGTCAGTCAATCAGTCAGTCCGTCAGTCAATTGGTCACTGAGTCAGTCAATCATTCAGTCAATCACTAAGTGAGTCAGTCAGTCGTTCAATCAGTCAGTCAGCTAATTGTTCAAACAATCGCTCATTGAGTCAGTCAATCAGTTCATCATACATGTACGTATGTATATATAACACTGCATGTCATACATATGTACATACGTACATCAACAATTTAAGATAAGATAGTATTGTCTGTCTGTTCTATTTTATAATATGAAGTTTTTCAGTTCTTGAGCTACTTTCCCAATGCGTGCCAAAGATTTGAAATGTAGGAACTACACGAATCTTATCACATATTGTTTATTGGTGCAGTTCAAGAGCAACATCTATAGCACACACACACACACACACACACACACACACACACAGACACACACAAACACGCACAGCTCTAGAATTCGCACATCCAAAAATAAAAGATCAAGGTTGCGTTTAGCAAACAACAAAATACACAAGAGAAGCAAAAACAAAAAAAACAAAAACACAATCAAAAACAAAATATGAAAAAAGCTTGCGCACATACATGCACACATGCATACATACATATGTATGTACATGTGTGCGCATACATACAAACAAATAGATTATTATAATAGACAACATGAAGAACTCAAACGGCAACGGAAGCGGGCCGAGAAGAAGCAGCAGAGAACCGCTACAAAAAAAACAGCAATAAGCGCAGAAATTAGCATTGCTTAAACTCAAAGTTCATCACAGCCGGCGAATTAACAATATAATTGTATAAGTGTGTGCGTGTGTGTGTGTGTGTGTGTGTGTGTGTGTGTGTGTGTGTGTGTATAACTATCAGTGCATGCTTTCATGCAAAGCTTAGTTAACCGTTTGTCATTGAGGCAAACTAAAAAGCAGGCCCAGCCAGCAATAAAATGCAAAAACAAATTCGCTGCCGTTCTCTATGTGTGTGTGTGTGTGTGTGCATGCAGCGACATCTGTTGTGTGTAGTTTGCAAGTACATGTGCACTCGTGTTGATCGGCTGCCTAAACTATAGACGCGTGTGGCATGTCAAACTGTACCCCCAAGATGGCAGCATGTGTGCGTATGCACTATGCATGTACACACATACATACATACATACATACGTATATGCTTGCATATGTATGTATGAAATGACGTATGCCAAGAGTTGGTCTTTGCTCGCGGCCGCAACTTGTCTAAATTTAGTCAAAGAGCAAAGAGTTCTTCTTGCTGCTGCTGCCGCTGCTGCTGCTGCTGCTGTCCAACAAATGAAACTTGGCGCTCGCTCATCGAATTTTCTCAATGCTTCGCAACGGAGGCGGCGGCGGCAGCGCTGCTGCTGCTGCGTCGTCGTCGTCATTAGCCACGCAGACGGCGACGCCGGCGGCGACACGTAGAGCGTTCAAAGTCCAATTGTCTGGCTGTTTTTTTTTTCTTCTTTTTCTTTCGATGTTGTTGTTTCTTGTTGCTTGTTTCTCTTGCGGTCGGTCTGCTTCATGACGAATTCCGTTTAACATTTAAACGGGGCACGCACACACACACCCTAGACAAGGGGCGAGAGAGAGAGAGAGAGGGAGAGCGAGCGCGAGCGAGCGAGCCAGTCAGACTGTGACTGCATTAAGGATCATCAAGTGGTTAACGCTAACCGTTATCCGAGCTTAACAGGTGCCTTGCCCTCCCTAGTTAAATTGGGAATGAATTGACCCAAGTAACTCGAGTTCTGGGCAACATATTGACTGGAAATTGATACTCAAGGAGTTCCATTAGTTCATATGTTCGAATAATAATATGCACTACATATTTAT